GATGAGATAGCACAATCCTTGGGTTTGGTGGTCAGTCAGCCCAAACTCTTGGTAAGCTCCAGGCCAGGGAGAGACCTTGTCTACAAAACAAGTGGACACAGTCTAAGGAATAACACTGGAGTTTGTCTTCTTGCTTCCCTAAGGGTGTATGCACACACACACACACATACACACACACACACACACACACACACACACACAGAGAGAGAGAGAGAGAGAGAGAGAGAACAGTAGAAGTATCTGCAATAATAATATATTCTGACATTCCAATTCCTAATCATTTTTATTTAGAACTGTATTATGGCATTGAACCATTTTTTTCTAGGAATTTTGAGGAATTTATTAAAAGAAAATAACTTCTTATCAATAATCATAATCCAGACACTAACTCCAGTAAGATTTTAATGCCGTCTATCTCCTTCCCTCCTTCCTTCCCTTCCTTCTCTTCTGCCTCCCATTCTCTTCCTTTTTTGGACAGTGTTCTTTTTTTATTATACAATCCAGGCTGGTCGAACTTCAGATCCTCATGCTCTGGTCTCCAAAGTGAGACACTATCAGGAAGAGGCAGAAACATTCAAAGGTGAGGTTTATGCGGTGGTTTGGATGAGAATGGTCCCTATAGACTCAGATGTTAGTATACTTGGTCCCCCACTGGTGGAACTGTAAGGGAAGGATTAGGAGGTGTGGTCTTGTTAGAGGAAGTGTGCCATTGGTAGCAGGTTTGGAGGCTTCAAAAGACTGGGGCCATTTCCAATGTCTCTACCTTGTGGCATGGATCTAGATGTAAGCTCTCAGCTACTACTCCAGTTCCATGCCTGCCTGCTTCGTGCCATTTCCCCCAACATACTGGTTATGGACTCTAACCCTCTGAAACTATAAGTCTCCATAAACCCTTTCTTCTCTAAGTGGCTTTGGTCATGGCATCTTATTCCAACAATAGAAAAGTAACTAAGAATTTCTCACCTGGAAATGGGCTGTTGCTGTCACAGACTTGCCATGCTTGTTTGGAGAAGGAAAATGGAAGACTTTGGGACTTTGGATTAGAGAAGTGGTTGAGCTATAAGCAGGTCTTTATGGGCCATCCTAGTAGAAGCTTGGAAGACAGTAGTGCAGAGAGACATGTAGATTATGAAGGCCCAAATCAAGAGGTCTCAGAGAGGAACAATGGTAGTAACAGGACTAAAAATCATTCTTGGAATATCTTGGCAAAGAATACGGCTGCCTTTTGCCTGTGGCCTAAGAATCTGACTGAGGCAAAACTGAAAAATAATGGATTCATTTTATTTTCTGTTATGTGGGTATTAGTAATCACTCTTATGCATGTTTTACAATGGAAAAAAAGAAAAAATCAAGCATGCCAAAGATAAATACAAAATGTACAGCTGGAGGAGGAAAAGAGCACCAGAAAGTTTGATGTTGGGGCCAAGGCTTGCTTGTCCTGAGACTGGGAAAGGACTGCATTGAAATCAGATGATGGTATCAGAGTCCTTAGGCAAGACTCCACCCAGCTAATCCTGTACCTTATGAAAGGAAAAGGCCTCACGGATTTTTCTTTTTTTTTAAGTTTAAATTTAAATTAGAAACAAGGTTGCTTCACAAGTCAGTTCCAGGTCCCTCTCCCTTTCCCTCCCATCCTCCCATGCCCTCCCCCCCCCCATTATCCCCTCATTTCCCCAGGGAGGGTGAGGCCCTCCATGAGGGTGAGCATAGTCTGTCATTTCATCCAGGGCAGGGCCTAGACCTCCCCCAAGATTTCAAGGTGAGAGTGCATCTCACATTGTTGGATTGGAGTCCAAAGTCCGTGTGTATACTCGGGATGAGTACCGATCTATTATCTCTAAAATGCAACAAGGCTTCTGTAAATGTGTTTCAAGAAGGAGGCCAGGCTCCACCCCAAACTTGGCAGTATTAACCTTGTGATTCTGGATTTAAAGTCATGAAAGATACTCAAATAATACAATTGTGGAATCTCCCCTTCTCAAAAGTTAAGGGGGGCAGGTGCAGCTGGGAAGCCCCTACATGGAGGTCCTGAGAGGCCAGTCCATGAAGCCATGAAAGTGAAATCTGGATTACACTGGAGACCCCAGGATGACATAGGCGCTGGAGTGAGTCACAGTCTGCCAGGGAGCACTGCACACAGAGAGTAGAAACAGCCCGAGAGAGAGGGAGGGAGGGAGGGAGGGAGAGGAGAGAGAGAGAGAGACAGAGGGAGGGAGGGAGGGAGGGAGGCAGGGGAGGGAGGGAGGCAGAGAGGGAGGGAGAGAGAGAGCGAGAGAGAGAGAGAGAGAGAGAGAGAGAGAGAGAGAGAGAGAGAGAGAGAGAGAGAGAGAGAGAGAGAGAGAGAGAGGTGTGCTGCAGTCAGCAAGGCTGGAAGGACAGAGCCAAAACCCTTTGACAACAGACAGTTTACTCTGCTGTTTTCAGTCTTGCTTTGGTCCAATATTTATCTTCTCTGTGTCCCCATTTCCCCCTTTTAGAATGATAATGTGTATTCTGTGAGCTTTTACTTTGAAAGCATGTAACTTGATTTTTCAGAGGGTTACAGTCTTGAGTCTCAGGAAAGATTTGGACTTTGAACTTTTAAACTGTGTTGAGATTGTGAAAGATTATGGGGACTTTTGAATTTGTACTGAACCATTATGATACAGCTACAAGCCTATGGGAATCAGGGGTGGACTGTAGTGGTTTGAAGGAGAATGTCCTCACAGGTTCAAATATTTGAATACTTGGTGGAACTGTAAGGGAAGGATTGGGAGGTGTGGCCTTTTTAGAGGAGACTTGGAAGTTTCAAAAGACTAGGGTCATTGCCGGTGTCTCTCTCCCTTCCTTGTGCTCATGGATTTAGATGTAAACCCTCACCTACTACTCCAGTTCCATGCCTGCCTGATTGGTATCATGCTCGGTGCCATGCTCCCCAACATAATGGTTATGGACTCTAACTCTCTGAAACTGTAAGTCCCCAATAAACCTTTTCTGCTTTAAGTGGCCTTGGTCATGGTGTCTTATCCCAGCAACAGAAAAGTAGTTAAGATGGCCTGTTTACATGAAATAGGTAAAGCGACAGGGATGACCTAGGCTGTGCCCTGCATGAGACCGTCTGTCTATGCTTCCTGACTGCTATGAGATGTGCTGCTTCATCTGCAAGCCCCATACCTGTACCTCTCGCGATGTTCTGCCTCATCACAGGCCATTACAAAGCAGCCAGAGGATTAGAACCGAAACTTCTGAGACGGCGAGCCAACTTAAATCAATATCCTTTAAGCTGTTTCTTTTTCAGTGACAAAAACAGTGAACATGGTTGCCTTAAAGTCCCTGATAATTCTAATAGCATCTAAAATTGAGGTGGGAAGGCCCCTGGCAAACCTGTGAGGGGCTAAAATTGATTGATGAATTGAGATGTGAAGACCTGGCCATTGTGGGTGGCATCGTCCCCGGGACTGGGATCTTGCACTGTATAGAAAGAGCCAAGCACAAGCATTCATTGCAGTCTGCTTCCTAACTGGATACAAAGTGATCGGTTGCCTCAAGCTACTCCCCCCTTGACACGCATTGAGATGAGATTACACCTTTGAACCAAAATAAACGTTTTCACCTTATAGTTATGGTTGTCAGAGTTTTTTGTTTTGTTTTGTTTTGGTTTTAATCACAGCAGTAGGGAAAGTTGCTCAGGTTTTCTTTCACTAGTCAAGTTTTAGGGAGTTTTTACTTTCTTGTTACTCAGAAGAAGGCACATAGTGAAGACAAAATCACCAAGCTGCTTTTATTTCATAAAACCGAGTGAAATGTAAATAGCTATTCCAAACTTGGCTGTGGACAGAACTCATCCTTTCTATTTAACAGTGGGGCACAATTGGAAACTAGCCTAATTGTAAGGGTTCAGGCATTATGCTGGCCTGCCTATGTCACCTGGTAGAATGCACTCAGGGTTCTATGACTACTAGTCTGCACGCAGGTACAAAGGACCCCTTTAAAAGAAAGACCCCTGCCCACTTACCCTCGCCTCTCTTTCCCCGCTGTTCCCTTGGGGCAGACAGGGCTTTTCCTGTCTTCCTCTTCTCTTCTGTCCTCTCTCTGTCTCTGTGTCTCTTTACCTCTTTTCTCTTTTCTCCTCCCTCCCCCCCCTTCTAATAAAACTTCTCACTTAAGCTCTGTCTGTCTGGCATGTTTGTCACCCTCGCCTGTCATGGAATCCACCAAGTTTCCCCACGTGCTTTAACATAACACTAATGGTCCTGATTTTAGAGTAAAATAGGTGTTTTTCTGTGTGTGTGTGTTGGGGGAATCTCAAAGTTATGTGTTTTGACATGTGCGGGTTCTTGTTTGTGGGTGAGACACATGCCATCGGTGCCTCCCAGTTAAGTGTGGGGGGGAGCCCCTGGTGGTCCTGCAACCATTGCTTCTTTGAGGACTCCTCAGCTGTGCAATCTCATGCTATCTGGGCATCCTCCTCTCTCGTTCCATACATAACCAGGCTGCCTCGGGCCTTCCTTCCTCTGGTGTAGTGCTGGAAGACGTTATCAAATTGTCTGTCCACGCGCCAGATTGCTCTTGCGACAGTGCAGTCCCCGACACGCGTCCCTTCCAGCACGGTATGCGCAGCGCGGCTATCCAGAGCCACCTGTTGAACACAGAGAGGGCCCTCCTTCTCACCCGGGTGGCTCCGGGTGGAGGATCTTTGACAAGTTGCAGGAGGCGGGGCCTCGAGAAGGAAAAGCCTAGCGGAAAAGACCCGGAAAGAGGCGGGAGGCCGCAGCGGGAGGCGCCGCCCCGCCCCCGCCGGTGCGCGCCGCGGGAGCGAGCGGGTCCAGCGCGCGCGCAGCCGGGCGCCTGACGTGGCACTCGCAGCCCAGAGCGACTCGGCGGCGGCGGCGCGGGGCGCGGAGCGTGCAGAGCAGGTACCGGGGACGCCGGGCGGACGCAGGAGGCGGGGAGGGGGATGGGGAGGCTGGGGAGCCGCAGATACGGCCGGCTCGGGGCGCAGCTGGGGTGCGGAGCGTCCACACGCGACTGCACCGAGACTCCCCATCAACTTGGCTCCCCAGTTCTCCGGAGGGGGAGAGGGCTGGAAATATTTCGAGGGGAAATGGCAACTCCACCGTTCGGCTTCGGGACATCATTAGAGGGAGACGCGAATTTGTCCCGGGTGACAGTGGACGGGGAACGGTGTGTTTGTGGAGTCCGAGCGCTCTAGGTTTGGATCCGAGGCCGGTCTGTGCCAAGTGGCTTTCTGCCATGTCGCCGCTTGCAGCTGAGTCAGGTTTCTACAACTTGGTGTTCTGGGTGAGGAAGTTTGACGTGGCACAGTAGGTTGAGGAAGCGAATTCCTCCCAGGTCCAGGGAAGAGGGCTGGGCTGCTCCCGGTTCTGCGCTGTGAGCATCGCTGCCCCGCTTCCCTCCCGCGGCTGCTGCGTGGGTGTGCCGTGCGGTCTTCTAAAGGGGCTGGGCTGGATCGGGCCAAGCAGGCTGCCACGTCTCTCTATGCGCAGTGGGAGGAGGGAAAGTGTTGTCAGGAACACAGTGGACTAGAGACCTTTGTCTGCCTCTCTGTCCTCCGTTAAGAAGACAGTGACCTCATAATACTTTTTCTTGGCGGCTTAAGTTTTAATATGAAAACAACGCTAAATCATGTATTTTGGCCTTCACATTTTAGATTTGCATGCCACTTCCAGAATAAAGACAGAGCCCATGTCTTAGAAGGCATTGCTAATCTTTGCTGTAAAAAGCAGCAGCACGAAATGACAGGAGAGTTATGCGAATGTCTGGTGGAATAGAAACTAGAGAATCAGTGTTTTACAGCTATTATGGCTTTTGGACACTTCATTTTCTGAAACAGAAAACCGAGAAACCCAAAGAGCCTCTTCAGTTTGCTCTGTGCCACAAAGCTATGCATTGGCAGATGGCAAACGAAAACCCAGTCCGTTCGCTGGGATTCAGAGCAACCAATCTTCTCACAAACGTTTTTTTGAAAGCTAGGAAGTGGTGATGTGCGCCTTGTATCCCAGCACCAGGAAGGCAGAGGCAGGCAGATCTCTCTAAGTTCGAGGCCAGCCTGGTCTACAGAGCTAGTTCCAAGACAGCCAGGGCTCTACAGTGAAACCCTGGGGGGAGGGGAAGAGGAGGGGAGATGACACCAACGAACCAAGCAAACAAATGTCATTTGAAAACCTCCTTAAGAGATATGTTTTATCAAAACCTGGAAACACGAAAGTGTAAAGCTAATTGGTATTTGGGCCCTGAATAGACTCAATATACGACTACTATATTTGTGATTGGGTATGACCACCCACATTCAAAACTTTTTCTTGGTTCCTTAAATATAGGTGCTTGTGTTATTTGAGGTATGACATCATATAAATCAGAAACCTACCTGGCATCTTTGACTGTGGTGGTTGGGGCTGCCTCTGGCTTGTCAAATTATGACTCACATAGGCAATTATCAGTTCTATCTCAGGTTCTAGTCGATGGACTATGGCTTTTCCTTGTCTCAACTATGGATTAAGATGACTAATTAGAAGGGCACCAGAAAGATCCAAGTCATGAAGCATGTGGCTGCAGACTACTTGTAATCATGGTGGTCAGTCATTTGAACCACATGGTGTACTCTTAAAATGTGACCATGGAAACCAAGGCATAGAATTGTAGGAGTACTAATGAGAGACTGTAGGAAGCAATTCAGGCTTCCCCAGGAAAAAGTGGTTCGCAATTACTATTCAGTTTTGTATCTGAGAATTTTCCTGGGACCACTGAAGTGATGCTACTAAGTTCCACAGAGAAGTCCTAAGCCATACCCACGGGGTAATAATAATATGCTACGCAACGTTGTATAAAATGAAAATATTTCCCGAATGGACACTTCCACTATTTTTCAAGCCATCCTAAATGTTTCTTGCTAGTGTTTATATTTGTAATAGCATTAAGTATCTCAAATCCTCTTGCCTACTTCTTGTTTTTACTCTTCCAGGATTCTTCTTCAGTAGCTCTCCTTTGGAATGATATTTTCATAATGAGCCAACAAGGTTATGTGGCGACACCCCCATATTCTCAGTCCCAGCCTGGAATGGGTCTTTCTCCCCCTCATTATGGACACTATGGGGATCCGTCCCGTGTAACTTCTCCACCAGGTAAATTGTTATTTTCACTTGTATATGATTGTTCATTCCCTGGACTTGGAGACGGTATTCGTAGTTGGCAGTCATTAACAGAAGCCGTGGTTTGACATGACAGCATCATTTGAAGAGGCTCTTACAGCAAGACAGGTGATGTACATACTTACCTCTTAGGTCTACATCTTCAGCCTAGAAGTCTTCCCCGTGCCTGGCCAGCGTTTTTCACTGTTCACCTGTTTGCTTGCTTAGTGACTTAGAACGGCACACTCAGACTCAGAGCAATTCGCTCTCTTTCACTGAGGCTTGCTTTTACTGGTGCTCCACATCGCATCTGAGCATCACTACTTAAGATCAGTACCCAAAACGTTCATTATTACAAAACCAAAGCACACTAGCTGTGGCAGCTCATGCTTATAAGGTTAGCACTCAAAAGACTGAGCCAGGAGGGTAAGGAGTTCAAGACCAGCCTTGACTAGACAGCAAGTTGAAGGCCAGTCCAGGCTATGTGGGACCCTATTTCAAGGAAACAAACAAAAACTCCAAAATCAAAACGGACACTTTTATCTTTTATCTGTCCCAATCCAGTCAGTCTCTCAAGAGTTTATTTTTAGAGTTATTTATTTCATCTTAAAGGTTTGAGTTTTTGCCTGCATATCTGTACCACGTGCCTGTCTCCCAGACTTGTCTTGAGCAGTCACAGACACCCCTCCCACCTCTTTCCTCCTCCATTCTGTTACTGTTTGGTTCAGTCTCTCACCCAGGTCACAAACAGCCCTTTAACCCTTAGGCTTCTCGCTGGTCCTGCCATTCTCCAGGCCTTCTGCTCTTGAACTGGAAGAATGTTGTATAACTTACTTGGCTTAAAACCTTGTATAACTTCCCATTGCCCCTTTTAATACATTAAGTTCCTTAGGCCTTCGTTATTTTATCCAGTTCTTCTTTTCTGTTCACCTGCACTGTCCCCTCTTCCATTACTCCACAGATGCCAACTTGTCATTAGAGTGGTGGTTTACACTTGGCGCCTGGTTAGCACCCTGCTTTCCCAGGAAGATGGTGGTCCTCCACGTTCTCTTCACAACTGTCTATCTCATATTCCTTCAGATGTTTCCCCAGCCGACACATGCATCTTCCCCCCTGCTTTATCTGGACACTGTGCCTGACTTTAAACCATTTTCCACGCTGTTGCACTAGGTGGAGGGGACTGAGTGATAGAGCGTTTGCCCGGTATGCAGGAGGGTTTGGGTTTTTACACACACATTGCATGTGATCTTTCTGTTGATTTTCTGACAAAAAAAAAACATAACTGTGGCTTCTTGAAGCATCTGTTCCACCAGAGAAGCCAGTGCTGAATCTTGTCCCGTGTTTTGCACAAATTGCATCTGTATCAGCACCCATTGACTGTGTGTCTGTGATTTTTGTGTTATGTGGTAACAAATCTAATGGATTTATTGAGTGAGCAAAGTACTTGTCACAAGACAACAAATACAATAATGTCAGTCTCATTCCATATATTACTTACTTATCTCCAGCATAGTACATGCATGCATGCATACATACATACATACATACACACACACACACACACACACACACACACGATAAGGAGCTTGACAATTATCGTTCATGGGGGGGGTGCCTCAGAAAGGAAGAGGAGGGTGGCAGGGAAGCGCACAGTAGCAGCAACAGGAGCCATAATACCGAGCTCTGAGATGGGGTCAGGGATAAAGCGTCTTCCTAGAGGAACGACCTGAAAGGCCAGTGAGGCTTGTAGGTAAGAAGGTGTCTTGCTGGTGTAAACTAGACACTCAGTATATGAGCAGTGGGAGGTATCCTCAAAGAGCAAAGTAATGGGGCCATATCAAAGGTGCCACTGAAGTGATTTAAACTGGAAAGGTCACACCCCAGTGCACAGTGGAAAAGAACTACACTGGATATTAGAAGGTGTGGTGGAGAAACTAGGGGTTGACATACTGTGTTGGGGGCAGGGTTTCTAAATCTTAGCATTCTTGACATCTGACACAAACTCATTCACATCCTCTGTCTGTCTACGCGCCCCCTCCCCCGTGTGTGTGGTGTGTGGTGTGTGTGTGTGTGTGTGTGTGTGTGTGTGTGTATAGGGGATACCCTGTGCATTTAGCAGCATCCATGGTCTACGGTCTGTGTTCACCAGGGTTACTTTCCTCTTCCTTAAGGAGTTTCAGCACATCACAATGCCCTGGCATTTCCAAGTGTCTTTTGAGTGGCAAACATTATCTGTGGCTCGAAGAAGAGAGGTCAGAAATGTTACTGTTCTAGAAGTGGAGTTGGGCCTAGGGTAGTGGTAAGGCTGCTACTACACCTTGAGTTCATACAGGTAACCACCAACTCAGCTCTTTGGGAGTGCTGGCCATTAGTATTCACAAATATAACATGGAGCTTATGTTTGTTTGTTTTAGATTAAGATTTTTTCCCCACAAATGCTCTTTGATTTTTGTTTTCCTTTGTTAGAAATAGGGTCTAGTTTAAGGTCTGCTTTCCATGATACTGTTTTGATGGCAGTCCCTTTGCTGATAACAGAATCCCCTGTAGTAGAACAGGATTTGTTAAAGGATATCAGGAAACACACAGAGAAAGGTCAAGCCCAGAATGTAGGCTCCTTTTATCTGGTCTACAAGGATACACTGCCCACACAGGACTATTCTACCAAAAATTACTTCCTTCTAGGCCAGAAGGACAGCCTGTGCCACAGAGCTGACCCAAGTTTCTCAAAGGTGTGCTGCTTGCATAGAGGAAGAAAGGAAAGAAGGAAGGAAGGAATTGTAGAGGGTCGTAGGAAGTAGAGTCTGTGTTTCTAGCTCAGGACCACTGGTGAAGGCATGCCTGCAGGTGACTGACCTCCTGGTGAATAATGCAGCCTGTAATACCTGCCACTGTGTTAAAGGTGGCTGTGGGTTTTGACACTCTCTCCTGGCATAAGCAGTTCTTCCTCCTGCTGGGGCATTCATTTCCTCTTAACGTCCCCTCCTGCTCTAGAGACCCTGATCTGATCCTCTTTGCGTCTGGTCACTTTTGAAAGTGGCCCATCAAAGACTCTGCCTCTGCAGGTCACCAGGATACCGACTTCCCTTTGCCCTGGGGACAGAGTCCAAATGACACACCAGACTTTGTAGCCTGACTGTAGCCAATCTGTGTGGTGATTTCAGTTCTTGTCACCTTACTATGTCCATCCAACCCTTAGCTATGATTAGGTTGTGCTCACAGACCACTGGTCAGGTTTCACTTCTGGCTAGAATCTGTTTACTGTCGCTAGTCTAAGTCCCTGTCCTGGAAGGGAATCTCAAGCTGTCTTTCCTCATTGATTTCTCCAGGAAGGGTGAGGAGTCCATCTGCATTTTGCAACACTTGTCACATGACAGGGTCACTATTTCTTTCATGGTTATGTCCTCCATAAGTGCTCTCAGTGCACTGGAGGCATGCTAAATGCAAGTTGAATGAGTTTGAATCAACGTTGACCTCCAAAAGCCAGAGGAAGAGCAGAACGTGACAGATATGTAACAGTTCTCCATGTACCTCAGAACTGCTTTAAAGTCTCCTGACACATGGGAGGCTGGTAAAACTGGCCACTAACCTGCTATACGCTGGGTTTTTGGTTTTGGTTTTATGTTTTGTTTTGTTTTTGTCATCTTGACATGGTTATCTGGGAAGAGAAACAACAATTGAGAAAATGCCTCCACCAGACTGGTCTGTAGAACTTTGAAAAAAAAATATTGATGAGGGAGGTGGTCCTAGCCCACTGTGGGTGATGCTACCCCTGGGCATGTAGTCCTAAGCTGTGTAAGAAAGCCAGCTGACCAAGCCATGGGGAACAAACCAATAAGCAACACTCCTTCATGGCCTCAAAAAAGTCCCAGTTCTTGTCTCCAGCTTCTTGTCTTGAGTGTCAGCCCTGACTTCACTCAGTGATGAGGCATGACCTGAGAGTTTTAAGATGAACTAAACCCATTCTTTCCCAAGTTGCTTTTAGTGATGGTGTTTAGCTTAGCAATAGAAACTAAGACACCTACTTATTTGAAAGATAAGGGTAACCAACTCCTGTTTCAACAGTAATTACTTAACCTGAAATATTCTGGTAAGAACCCTGTGGATTTCTACTTTTGTCCAAAATAGCATTTTAAAAATAAAAATACAGTGTGTTCTTAATTATATATGTTTTATTAAACCATAAATCCTAAAAAAAAAAGGTAAAACGAAAAGGAAGTCAGGGCTTATGGCCAGGTGAGAGAAAGTGGTTTTGAACATTCCCATACTTCTTGCCTCACTTAATTCTCAAGGCAGTCCTGGAGAGCAGGGACATTACAGCTGTGACACAGCCTTAAAAGTCCTGGGTCTGAAAAACAAAATGTCTTGTCTTGTCAGTCAGCAGCTTAGCAGTAGGGAAGGCATTCAAACGCAGTCGGTGAGACTGCCAGCCTCATAGTTTTCTTACATTGCTGAACATCATCTAAAAATGTAGTGTTAGGAGAACTTGTTTTAATTCACAGAAGGGAAAATGCTGCATGATCTGAGTCATTTGTGGAAGCTAAGGAAGGTGATCTCACAGAGGGTGAGATTGAATGGTGGTTCCTAGTAGCTGGGGGTAGTGGGAGGAGGATTAGAATATCTGATTAGCGGGGGCTAAGTTAGATAGAAGCAGTACCTCCGGTGTGGTATTGTATAGTGGGTGCAAAGAGGTACTATGTATGCACTGTGTTTCTCAAATAGCCATGGAAAGAGTGTTCAGTTGCTTTACCATAAAATGATGGGTTTCCTATATATGTACTTAACCTGGTAAAAATATCACAGACTATACCTATGACTATATCATATGGTATCATATACATACACATACACACACACACATACACACACACACACATGCACATTCTTATCAGTTAAAATGGTTTAAAATTAAATAATACTATTTTTTATTTGTCCTATATGGAAAGTTAACTATAAAGCTAATAGATAATGTTCCTCACTCAGGCTGTGGTGAGGGCCTGTGATCCTCTCTGCTCAGGAGGCTAAGGTGGGAAGACTGAAGTTTAGAGTCTGGACTGAAGAGCAAGTTCAAAGGCAGCCTAGGCAATTTAATGAGACTCCGTTTTAAAATGATAACATATATAAAAGAGGGTTGGGCTATGACTTGGGCTGTTGTTGACTGGGGCTTGCCTCATGAGTGGGGCCCTGGGCTCAGCACAGACAGTCTTCAGTTCAAGGAATAATGCTTGACGAGAGGGGGCTTGATAGGCGTTTCAGTCTACAGTCACTAATGTAGACCACTGCTCTGACCAGGTACGTGTGTTGGATTATTCAGGGACATGACAGTACTTTCATGAAGGCACAGAGACAGACATTCTGATGAGGTCTTCCTGGGTGACTGCAGTACATGCTGTCGTTTCCCTTCTGTCTGGGAACCAGGTAGAGGGGGGCATTGTATGTGTGTGTGGGAGGGAACAGAAAGAAGTCAGTATGAATGCCGACACTACATGTAATGGAGACCACTCAGACAGCTTGGAGGTCACAGGACCACACAGAAGGGGGTTAGGACTAAAGGTCAAGGGACCAGGCTGTATAGAGTAGATTTCAGTTTCATTTTACAAAGATGCAAACTGAGTCCTCGGAAGAGGCTCGTTGTCCTGTAACATGTTGTCTTCCTGCCAGCCACCTAGGCCCTGCCACTGTCTCAGCCTCCAAATAACACACAGGACGCTATATTAATTATAAACTGTTGGATGTTTTCTTGGTTTCTTACTGGCTAGCCCTGACTTAAATATTTAACCCATAATTGCTAATCTAAGTATTTCCATGTGGTCTACTCTTACTGGAGGAAGAGTCCAGGCATGTTGCTTCTCATGTGTCCTACATCATGATTGATGTGCCTCTCTTTCCCAGAATCCTCCTTGACTCCTAGTCCCACCCATCTTGCTTCCCTATTGGCCAACAGTGCTTTATTCAACAACCAATAAGATAAGCACATACATAGAAGGACTTCCCCCATCATCGTCCAGTTCTGAGCAACTGCTGGTTAATACAAGCACAGCTTGGGGCTCTCCATCACGAGGCTTGGCTGCTCCTCTATCACCCTTGCTTTAGAAGGGAAGAGAAAACTGCCTGAAAAGGGTTCCAAAGCGAAACCTTGACACTCTCCATCCTGGTTAGTTTTATGTTAACTTGACACAAGCTAGAGTTGTCTGAAGGGAGGGAACCTCAATTGAGAAAAAGACTCCATAAGATCCAACTGTAGGTAAGCCTGTAGGACATTCTTTTCGGTAGTGATTGATTGGGGGCCCAGCTAGTGTGGGTGGTGCCATCCCTGGGCAGGTGGTCCTTGGTTCTATAAGAACCAGGCTGAGCAGCACTCCTCCATGGCCTCTGCGTCAGCTCCTGCCTCCAGGTTCCTGTTCTGTTGAGTCCCTGTGCTGACTTCCTTCAGTGACAGACAGTGATATGCAAATGTAAGCCAGATATCCCCTTCGCTTCCCAGTTTGCCTTTTGGTCATGGTGTTTCATTGCAGCAATAGAAACCCTAACTAAGATGCTCTCTGAGGGGCCTCTGCAGGAAAGTGGTCCCTGCAAGGAGCATCGGCCATTGTGTGTGATTCCCACATTCTCTGGGTATCCCAGGATATGCTAGAGTAACAGCCAGCTCTCCAAAGGCACTGTCAGGGGCTTGTCTTGTATGCATTTAGGATGCTCTACCAGGCTGCTCTCTGATTTACTGACTTGTTTATTTTGTTACCATCTTATACATTTTTTTGTTTTGTTTTTCCTTGTGGGATCCTGTGTTCTGTTAGGGCTCCTCCACCACATGCAGAGTTTATCTCCTTTATTTAACTTTGCATTTGGTTTTTAAAAATTATTCTTTTTTGTTCTTTTAAAATACAGTTACCGAGTAATAATAGCCACCCGAGAGAGGGTGGTTGAGGGAGGCTGGAAGGGCCTTGTGACACACCAGTTGGCCTCCCTGGTCAGTCCTTAGTCTCCCTCCTTTGTATTGTCTCTCTCTGCACTTTAATGTACCCATATCTGTTCCCTTATGTTGCAGGCACAATGAAGCCATCAGCGCCTTTGGGCGCCATTGCGCCTCCGGGGATGTTGCCCCCAGGCCCTTTACCTCCTGGACCCCCACAGTTTGGCCCAAATGGAGCCCATGCCCCTGGCCATCCTCCCCAAAGGTGAGCTAAGTACACTTCAACCCTCATTTGAATATGCCCTAAAGTATTCTCTGAAGTACTTTGTAAGCTTGTGTTTCTTGGTAGAAAGTTTGATGTCTTTGTAAGTTCCATATTTAATAATACATACGAATTGCTTGTGTCAATGCTACATATTTTAGTGTGGGGTCATATTCCGCTTGTTTTTAGAGTTTTGTGTTTATCTCCCATCCCTTCAGACACCTACCATCTATATGTCTTGCAAAATACTAGATTATGCTGGGCATGATGGCACATACCTTTGTCCCAGCACTTGGGAAGCAGAAGTAGGCAGATCTCTGTGAGCATGAGGCCAGCCTGATCTGCATAGCAAGTTCCAGGCCAGCCAGGGCCACACAGCGAGGCCCTGCCTCAGAACAACACAGAACATTAAAACTTAGAAGAAATTCTCCTAACTTCATCTCTTCCCCAGAGCTGTCCACAGACCTGAGCTTATTACCAGTACATGTGTACCACAAGTTTTAAGATGAAATCAGATGAAGTCCATGGTATAGTCTGTGGGTTCAATAGAGAAGGCAACATGTATGCAATCGAGGAACTCTTAATTGGCAGGCCTGCTGTAAAAGCAGCTCAAAAAAAAAACATAAAAAGAAAATACGGCGTGTGTTTATTTGTAATAAACTGAGAAAGAGGAAGTCAGAGACAGGCCTAGCAAAGCCAAGGTCTGGCTGAGATATTTAGAGCCTGTCATCCATAAGGGATTATCACTTGGGGTGGAGCCAGCAACACACCTCAAGGCTTGCAAATCCCAGTGTCATTTTCCCACAAGCTGTTGCCACCAACCTGAGTGCAGCTCCTAGTAGCATTTACCTTGGAGCTGTGCCAAGGGTGACCTAGAGGCCCCATTTCCTGATCCCTTTCCCAGGTGGTCAGGTGGAGCGTGGCAGGGCACTGAAGTGAGTCTTCAGTGTGAGTCCGTGCCTTTGAGGAAGGATGCCATTCCTGGTAATAAGAAAACGGAGGTTTTGAAATCGGCTAAGGCCCTTGTGGGGATTTTGAGTCTGACACTCGTGGATTTTGTTTATTGTGGTAACCACCACTGAGATGTAGCTATGGCATCACAGAGAAGCATCACACAGGAGACAGACAAGAAAAGAGTTTAATTTGCGAGCATGCCTGTGTTTTGAGCACAAAGCAAGGACTCAAAGGCCTTGTTGTGACCTGGCCGTTAGTCTCCAAAGCACGATGGATGGGCAATGAGGGTACACACTGCTGAGGAGCACTGGATGTAGGGGCTATATCTGTGTCTAGCGCTCTGGAAGATTGAGGCAGAAGGACCGTTATGAGTCCAAGGCTAGCTTGGGCTATATAGCTCCAGGCCAGTCTGGACTACAGAGTAAAACTCTGACTCAGAAATCCAAGTGGAGTCTTATATAGCTGTGGATCCTGTATGCTGTACTGCCAATCTGCCAGGCAAAATATACCCACTGGTGCATAGGGACATGCCTGCTATGGGGAAACCAATAGCTTTCTGATTGGATTTGAAACCCAGTCTGCAGAAACTTCATGCCTGATGCTATGAAACCGGTTAAAAGTCTGCTGCTGGCGAGGCCACTCTAGGGCAGAATTGCTTTTGTTGTTTTGCTAAATGGACATATAGCTAAAGCACTTTCTAGTTTTTTAAATATAAATATAACATGCATGAATTTTTATTTATACTCAAGTATAATCTAAATATAAATTTGTTTATATCCATGGACTGGCACTGCTGTAAATTGGCAAGGCCTGCTGTAAAAGCAGCTCAATAAATACAGCTTGTGTGGGCTGGAAAGATGGCTCAGAGGTTAAGAACACTGACTGCTCTTCCAGAGGCCTTGAGTTCAATTCCCAGCAACCACATGGTGGCTCACAACCATCTACAATTCAATCTGCTGTATATGTAATAAATAAATAAATCTTAAAAAAAATACAGCTTGTGCTTGTGTTTGTAGTGAGCTGGGAAAGAGGGAGTCAGAGGCAGGCCCAGGAAATCCTTGGTAGGAAAAGTCTCCTTGTTACAGGGATTGATAGTGCAGAGAGACTCATAGCCGAGCAGAGAGCAGAGAAAAAGTGACCGCTGAGTGCTCAGCCCGAAATGGGACATCACCCCTTCCTGGGCTCAGCAAACATGGCAGGAGAGGGAATGAAAACATTGTAAGGACCTCAGGATGGGGAGGGCTGCTCTGAAACCGTCTTCTGGATGTGACATCATCAGGGAAACCATGCACACACAGGAGCTGTGGGAACCTGCGAGTGACCAACACAAAATTAGATCCTCAACATTCCATCATGAATTTGGGGGCCACCTGTGAAATCCTACCCTTCCCTGGGGAGCTGGTGGTCGTTAGTGGGTACCAGGGTTGAAGTGAATGCCATCTTTTTCAGTGGGGAGGCCTTTGGTAAGTTGCCCATGCTCCAGTAAATAGCCTCTCACCCACGTTTGTCCAGTTGACCCTAATTAAGCTTAGTGATTCAAAAACAGTAATACTCCCCACACAACAAACCCTGAAAGCTCGTTGGGAAATGAGTATGGTATGAGCAAGGATGGGAGAGGGATAAGAGAACATATAGGGAATTTGTATTATCACAATACATTTGTATAACTATATGGAATTGACAAAGATGATATTAAGCTTTAAGAAATATCTATGAAAAAAATATAGAAAAGAAATGCTGAGGACTTCAAGGTAGCTTTGGTCTCAGCAGCAGAGTAGCATGGGGTATGTTGATGACGTTCCTTGCCCTTAATTCCTCACTGGAGACACAAGGAGGTGACCTAGGTCCAGAAGGAAAAGGAAGACGACCCAGGACAGTTCATTACTGGAAACTGTCTCCCTGGCACCTCAGAAAAGAAATACAAAGATGGAACCAGTGGTTTAGAGAACAAGTTTTGGTCATTGGTATTGGCCTGGCTGGTGGATCTTTTCGATGTGTTGTCACTTCTGGGAATGACATCATGAGCTCAGTATAGGGCTGGCACCCTGAGGAGTGGAGACATGTTTGGCAGGCATGCCTTAGGGGGCTGTTGGCTAGACAAGTTCTAGTCTGTGTAGACTTGTTGCCCCCATGTGCAGTGTATGGTCTCCAGGTTCGAATGAAGCTGGAGAATTCCTGGATCTTGGTGGTGCTGCAGTATCAGAATCTCTTCACCTCAAAACAAATTACTCATGTCCCTGGGGTGCCACTGGTGCTCACAGAACCCTGGGTAAGGAGGCGGGGCCTGTGCCAGGTCAGGTGTTTCCCATGGTACCGATCATTATTTTAGCGTGTTCTCCTACTTAGAGAAGTCTGGTGTGACTCATTGTATTGTTAAGCAGCAGTTGCTCGACAGAGAGAGCTGTGTCACTGCCTCTCTTAGTTGATTTCCTCGAGTGTTCTTTTGCTCATTGTGGTTCTAGGAATAGCAGGTTGTATGTACCCCATAGCCTAAGTGTGTAGTGGGCACTTCTATTCAGGGTTGTATAGCCTATGATGTTTGCACAGGGGCAAAAATCGCCTAGTGACACATTCCTCAGAGTATCCTATTGTTAACCGGTTTGTAACCACCTTAACCTCTGTGTGTTTTTGCTTTCTCGTCATGTACAGTTACATCTCGGACACATTGTGAGGATTTTGCATGCAAACTACTTTGCACAGCTAAACTGCAATACCCATCACAGTCCATAGGCTCAGTACGTGTCAGCAGCTCTCAAAGTCATTTCATTGGATATAGTATGCCATGTCATCGGATAGAAAGTCCACTTGCTATCTGTGGATTGCTCTCCCTGGCTGGTGACTCCAGCAAGCTCAGTTTCAGAATCTACTTTTGACTCTGATTGCAAGGAAGCACAGCTAGGTCCTGTTCTTTCCCTACCACTTTCGACCCGGTACAACTTAAGTACTAGCCTAAAAGTTAGAAGTGGGCTTGAAAGATGAAAAGGTTATGGGGGAAAGTCTAAGGCTCCAGACTGGGTTTCCAGGTTGACTCTTATCTGCCCCGTGGGACACGTGTCTGTACACACAGGGCAGTGCAAAGACACAGCGCACGGTCATCTTGTGACTGAGTCATATTGATCTGTTGGCCCAGGCTCAGGGGAGAATAGATGAGTGTGACCTCCCTCGATCCCTTCCTTCCTCCCTCTCTCTTTTTCCCTCTCTCCTTTCCTCTCTGCATCTTTTCTTTTGTGTCTTAAAAGCTTTTTAAAAATAAACTTTAAATTTATTCTTTGAGAATATCATATCACACATGTACTCAATGTGGGGTTTTTGCTGCTGCTGTTGTTGTTGTTTTTTTCGAGACAGGGTTTCTTTGTGGCTTTGGAGGCTGTCCTGGAACTAGCACTTGTAGACCAGGCTGGTCTCAACTCTGCCTGCCTTTGCCTCCCAAGTGCTAGGATCAAAGTCGTGTGCCACCACTGCCCAGCAACTCAATGTTGCCCCATCGTCCTATCCAACTCCTCCCAGAACCCCATGGACCCTCCCTTCTTCATTTGCTCTTTTGTTGTTTTTTAACTTACCGAGTCCACTGAGTGCTGTCACTGTGGAAATGTGTGAAGGGCCTAGAGCCTGGGCAACTGACCAGGGCCCACTTCCCTGAGGAAAACAGTTCCTTGGCTAGAGATAGGACCTTGCGATTCCATCCCTTCTTTGTGGTGGAATCGCTACTGACTAGATCTTGTCCAGGCAGCCACAGTTGTTGTGAATTCATATGTACAGTGGTCATGTCTAGAAAACACTGTTTCTCAGCAGTTTTCCACAATTTTAGGCTCTTACCATCTTTCTGCCTTCTTCCACAGTGATCTCTGAGCTTTAAGGAGAATGGGTATGATATAGATGTTTCATTTAGGGCCAAGTATATCATAGTCATTTTTTTTTTCTCACTTCGACCTATTGTGAGTCTTTGTACTGAAGAACTATCCATTGTAAAAAGAAGTTTTTCTGATGAGGTTTCAGAGCTGCACTGACCTACAGACGTAGTGATAAGTATTTAGAGGGCAGTTTGATACTATATCCATGTAGCAAAGCAATAATAGTAGGTTCAGTCCTGAGGTATGGGAGTTCCCTGACCATGGGTTCTTGTTCATATTTACAGTATTGGGCATGCGTGTCTTCCTGTACAGTGGGCCTTAAATCCCATCGTGCCACTGTTCCATCTGTGAGTGTATCTTGCAATGCTGGTCATTACTGTAGTTCACTGGGTTGACGTCTGAGTGAGACTGCTAATGACTCCCCTCCTCCTAGCAGTTCCTAGAACCGTGAAATCTAGCCAGAAGGGAGGAAGCTTCCAGTTCAGTATCAACTTGATCTTTCCATGTCCGGTGACTCAAGTATGTTGTATCTTCAGCAAAAGGATCTTACCGTGAAGTTCTGGAGTAAGAGCACTCCCAGCAATAGAAATAGCTTGTATTGTTTAGAGGGTTATGAGACCTCCCTGACCAGTAACTCATACCTAAAACTAGCCATCAGGTAAAAACTAGTCTCAGGTAAAACTACTTTGAAACTTCATTTTACCCCAGCCAGACTGCCTAAGATCAAGAAAACAAATTACAACAAATGCTGGAATGGATGTGGGGAAAGGAGAACCATTATTCAGTGTTGGTGGGTGTGCAAACTGGTATAGCCACTGTGGGAAACAGTGTGGAGGGTCTTAAAAAACCTAGAGATAAATAGATCTACCACATGATCCAGCTCTACCACTCTTGGGCATGTACCCAAAGGACCCTACATCCTACCACAGAGATACTTGATATCTATGCTCGTTGACACTATAGTCATAATAGCCAGGAAATGGAAATAGCCTAGATCTCTACAAACTGATGAATGGGTAAAGAAAATACAGAACAGATGCAGAGTGGAATTTATTTAGATGTAAAGAAGAATGAAATTTTCAGGTCAGTGGATGGAACTGGATATAATCATTCTGAGCCTGTTCACTCAGATCCAGAAAGACAAATTCTGTATGTTCTCTCTCATATTTGGAGGCTATATTTGGGTCTGTAGATATGTATTTAAATTAGAGCATTTGCAGAAGCCAGGAAATTAGGAAGGGGCCATTGTGTTTGTGTTGAGGGAAGAATAATGGAGGAGGGACAGTCAAACACAGACAGTATGGGGTGGGTAAGAGAATAATGGGAAGGAAAAAATTTAAGTGGGGAAGTAGATGGGAGGCCAGGGAAGAGAAAGAGTTTGAGAGGAGATAGATAACACCAATGACCTTTGAAAAAGCCATATCGAAGCCTAGAGTCTTAGTCACTGTTCTATTGTTGTGAAAGACACCACGACCAAGGCAACTCTTACAAAAGAAAGGATTTACTTGGGGGCTTGCTCACAGTTTAGCACATCTCCATCATACAGGGAGCGTGGTAATTTATAGGCAACCACTGGAGTGGCAGCTAAGAGTGCTACAAGTAGAGAGAGGAGAGAGAGGGGGGGGGAGGGAGAGGGAGAGGAAGACTTGGCCTGTCCTGAGCTTTTGAAACCTCAAAGCCCACCCCTCAGTGTCACACTTCCTCTGACAAGGCCACACCTCCTAATCCTTCTAATCCTATTAAAGAGCTCCACTCCCTGGTAACTAAGCATGAAATATTTGAGCCAAAAGGGACCAATCTTATTTAAACCACCACTCCTACTATTTTAGAAACTTCCTCAAAACCAATTATATATATGTATATATACAATATGTATATATATTAAATATATATGTATATATATTAAATAAAAAGCTAATTGTTAGGTGTGACTTAACTTTCTTTTTCCTTTTAAAGTCACTGTGTAGAAGCTGGCCCGTACTTACCTCACCCTCTCAGTCATGTGTTACCACAGCTGCCTATGCCTATGTGTAATCTTTCTTTGTGGAGGACAGCACTTCATTCCTCCATAGACACTCAGTCACAGAGATAAGACTTTAGACAATTCAAACTCACAGTCATTGTGTTGATTTGAATTATAAATATGTATATGATTTTTAAAACACTAATATTTTGGGGCTGGAGAGATGTCTCAGTTGTTAAAAGTACTTGTTGCTCTTACAGGGGACCTTGGTTTGGTTCCCAACATACACATAGTGGCTCACAACCATCTGTCACTCCAAGTCCGGGTCATTCAACACTCTCCTCTAATCTCCATAGTTACCAGGCATGCACATGGTACAGGAAAAACATTTATATACATTAAAATTAAAATACAGATCTTAAAGATCTTTAATTTCAAAAGAAATATCTGATAAAACTTAAAAGCCATACTGTCTTAGGGTTTCCAAAATATACAAGGAACTCAAGAAGCTCGTCACCAAAACACCAAATAATCCAATTAAAAAGTGGGGTACAGAACTAAACAGAGAATTCCCAATAGAGGAATCTAAAATGGCTGAAAGACAGTTAAGAAAGACCTTGGTATCCTTAGCCATCAGGGAAATGCAAATCAAAACAACTCTGAGATACCATCTTGCTCCTGTCAGAATGCCTAAAATCAAGAACACCAAAGACAGGAGAGGATGTGGAGAAAGGGGAACACTCCTCCACTGCTGGTGGGAGTGCAAATTTGAACAGCCACTTTGGAAATCAGTATGGCAGTTCCTCAGGAAAATGAGAATTAGTCTACCACAAGATCCAGCAATTGCACTCCTAGGCATATACCCAAAAGATGCAAATTCATACAACAAGGACATCTGTTCAACCATAGCATTATTTGTAATATCCAGAACCTGGAAGCAACCTAGATGCCCCTCAACTGAAGAATGAATGTAGAAAATGTGGTACATTTACACTACGCAGTAGGAAAACAAAAACAAAAACAATGGAATCTTGAAATTCATAGGCAAATGGATAGAACTAGAAGAAACCATCCTGAGTGAGGTAACCCACTCACAAAAACAGAAACATGGTATGTACTCACTCATATATGGGTTTTAGATATAGAGCAAAGGAATACCGGCCTACAATACATACTGCCATAGAAACTAGGAAACAAGGAGGTTCCTAAGAGAGACATACATGGTCCCCCAGAGAAAGGGAAAGGGACAAGATCTCCTGAGCTAATTGGGAGCATGGGGGGAGGGAAGAGGGGGCTAGGAGAAAGAGCAGGGGGTAAAGAGGAAGGGAGAGGAGGACATGACAGAGCAGGAAGACAAGCAGGGGAAGAACAGAGGAGAGCAAGAAAAGAGACACCATAATAGAGGGAGCCATTAGAGGTTTAAAGAGAAATTGGCACTAGGGAAATGTCCTGATATCTACAAGGATGACCCCAACTAACAATCTAAACAATAGTGGAGAATGTATCTTAAATGCACTTCCCCTATAATGAAATTGATGAGTACCTTATATGCCATCCTAGAGCCTTTATCCAATAGCTGATGGAAGCAGAAGCAGACACCCACATCTAAACACTGAGCTGAACTCTGGAATCCAGTTGCAGAGAGGGAGGAGTAATGAGCAAAGGAGTCAAGACCAGATTTGAGAAACCCACAGAAATAGCTGACCTGAACAAAGGGGAACACATGGACCCCAGACTGATAACTGGGAAACGAGCATAGGACTGTTCTGGACCTCCTGAACGAGGATGTTACTTTGGAGGTCTGGGCAATCTATGGGGCCTCTGGTAGTGGATCATTATTTATCCCTAGTACGCTAATGGACTTTAGGAGCCCACTCCACATAGAGGGATACTCTCTCAGCTTAGACACACAGGGGAGGGTCTAGACTCTACCCCAAATGATGTGACAGACTTTGAAGATCCTCCATGGAAGGCCTCACCCTCCCTGGGGAGCAGAAAGGGGATGGGATAGTGGGCCGGTGGAGGACAGGGGAGGAGGGGAGGGAGAAGTAACTGGGGTTGGCATGTAAAACAAACTTGTTTCTAATTTAAATAAAAAGGGAGGGAGAAAAGGTTCATAATGACTCCCAAGTATTCATTAGCTTCCTGTATTGTATCACTAGGGTGGGACCACTGCTCGGGTAATAGCCATTGCTTATATCAAAACAGTGACAATGACAATAGACAAATGCAGTTTCAAACTACATCGGAGGTAGAGCTTGATGATATTTTCAAATGATAAAAAATGAAAAGTACCTACTCCAAATTTACCACAATGTTGACTGTCGTATACCAGTTGTAGACTGTGCCTTGCTGTCTTTAGAATGTAAGACGGCCACATTTTGTTTAAAAGCTGGGTCATAATGATAAGCAGAATGATCACAGACACACAACCTCAAATGAGGTGCTTCTGTTTTCTGTTTTGTGTTGTTCTGAGGATCAAGTTTAGTGTATGTGAAATGGCTGCAGCAGGCTATCTTTCCAACTCATTTCCAAGGCTGGCCTTGTGTTCATGTTAGGAGCTTTTCCTCCCTTGGCATAGGGAACATATGAGTGGAGATGTAGGGGTTATGCTACATGGGTTATTTTGAGTTCAGATCAAGATTAAGTATTTATTCACAGTATCAGTCATTTCTCCAACCCTGTAGAGAAGGTGGTTTTTGTTATAGAATATGTTAGCTGTTCTGTGTGCCATTTGCTTAAGAAATTCTGTGTTACTAACAATACCTGTTGTCTCTTAGATTTCCAGGACTTCCACCTGTCAATAATATGGCACCCTCTTATGCATCAGGCCAACCCCTGCCACCATCATCTTACCCAGGCCCTGGGTCCACTTCCTCTGTAACCCAGCTGGGCAGTCAGTTCGGCTCCATGCAGATCAACAGCTACGGTAAATGTCCATTGGCACTGTTCACTCAGGGCCACCACTCAGTGTTCTTTGTTGGAGGTGTGAGCCCAGAGCCCACCCTCATCATTTACTCTTTTTAAAGATAAACTTAGCTCTAGCATGACATGTTAAAATGCTACCTGCTTCATTTTTATATAAGCCATTGGTACTACTTACGGCTCTGGCTAGTTTTCTCATGAGCCTATTGTTACTCTTTCAAGGTAATTGAAGAATCCTCAGGATACCACCTTCACTGATAGAACAATAAAAAATGAAAATGCGGACTTCACAAATAACCGTTAAAAGTGTAATTATTTGAGGAGCTATGAGGGTTGTTTTAAAATTGTATTGCTTAATATGGGTTCTCCAAATTGAAAATAAAATGCATATTGTTTCAGAGTGAGTTTTAATTCCATGTTTAGGTCTTTGGAAGAATCAAATCTCAGATGCCACAAACCAGAAAAGAGGAGAGATCAGGACTGTACTCCCTAGTAGCAGCATGGCTACATGTTGTGCTTTACGCTTGAGACCTCTTTGGGGGTTGAATCGCCCTTTCACAGGGGTCACCTAAGACCATTTGCATGTCAGATGTTTATATTATGTTTCATAACAGTAGTAAAGTTACAGTTATGGAGTAGCAAATATAACTTTATGGTTGGGGGCCATCACAACAGGAGGAACAGGAGTCACAGTGATAGGACCACAGAGAACCACTCCTCTAAGGGATGCTCCTTTTCTTGGCTGTCTTCCTACTGTTGTGATACACCACCATGACCAAAAGCAACAGCGGGAGGAAAGGGTTTATGTCAGCTTATACTTCCAAGCAACTATCCATCACTGAGGGAAGTCAGTCCAGGAACTCAAGGCAGAAACCTGGAGGCAGGAACTGATGCAGGGGATCATGGTGCTAGCATCTCCAAAATGCTGAGGTCTCCTGCTGCAGCTGTGTGGTATTTCACAAATAGCCTCTCCAGGACTCTCTTCGGAGACTCTGACCCTGTCCATGGTGCCAAGCCTCAACTTCTCTCCCTGATGCCTTCAGTCCTGGGGCTTCAACTGCAATAGAGGTTGAACCTTGGCCAGTGTCCTCTCCTGGCCTCTCATTGTGCCAAGCTGCTCTCCATGACTCCTTCATGCCTTCAAAAATACTACCACTTGGGAAACTTACATATTATCAAGCTTGGCTGCCGGCACAGTGTACAGCTTTGGTTTCTTCTGAACCAACACCTTTGGGTGCTGATGCCATTCTTTGTGTAATCACAGTCAATTCCCTGGTCCCAGGTGACCAGCTTCCATTGTCCCAGCAAAGCAGATGTTTTACTCTAATGGTTCTGGTCTCTTGTTACTTACAGCTGGTTCTTCAGCTCTAGCCGACACCATGATTTCTTTTTTGTTTGTTTGCTTGTTTGTTTGTTTTGAGATGGGGTTCCTCCATGTAGCTCTGGTTGTCCTGGAACTCACTCTAGACCAGGTTGGCATCAAACTCAAGAGATCTGTCTGCCTTTGCCTCCTGATTGCTGGGAATAAAGGTGTGTTCCACTCCTGCTTGACCAACAACATGAATCCTTTCTTTCTTTCTTCATTTCTTTCTTCCTTCCTTTCTTTCCTCCTCCTCCTCCTCCTCCTCCTCCTTCCCTTCCTCCTCCTTCTTCAAGACAGCCTGTCTCGGAACTCACTCTGTAGACCATGCTGGCCTTGAACTCACAGAGATCTGCCTGTCTCTGCCTCCCAAGTGCTAGGACTAAAGGTGTGTACCACCACCACCTGTCTTACACTACAGATTCTTTACATGAAAACATCACACAAATAGTCCTGGTAGAGTCTTTGCTTTCCTCTGAAACTTCACAAGTCAGGGCTCCATCATCTGCACTGCTCCCATCATTGTCTTCTAAATCCCAACAGAACAGTCCATTGATCTGTGAGCAAACAGAAGATTTTTCAACCCAAAGTTCAAATGTTATTACAATCCTCTAAGAACACATGGGCAGGTCTGTCACAGCCATACCCTACAACCTGGTACCAGCTTATGCCTTAGTTAGAGTTTCTTGTGCTATAACCAAATGCATCTTGGGGAGGAAATGATTTTTGTTTTTTGTTTCTTTTGGTTTCTTTGTCTGTTTGGGTCTTACAGCTTGTAGTCAGTCATCTAGGGAAGTCAGAGGAGGAACTTGAGGCAGACCCTGTACACAGGGCCTGGTGCAGAGGACATGGAGGAGTGCTGCCTCACTGGCTTGCTCCTCATGGTTTGCTCTGCCTGGTTTCTTACAGAATCCAGGAACTCCTACCTAGGAGTGGCACCGCCCACAGTGAGCTGGCCAGTCTGGTGGGGGGATTTTCTCAATTGAAATCTCTCTTCTAAGAGGACTCTAGCTATGTCAAGTTGACATTAAACTAGCCGGCACACTCCTTTACTACTTAGAAGTATTGATAACATTCTCCCAGAATACTTTTAATTTTTCTACCGGTTTCCAAATGGATGACTTAGGAAGCAACTAAGTTTCATGTAAGCCTAGACCAGGAAACAATTTGCATTTCCAGGGTGAATGGAGAGTCTATCAGTGGGCCCCAGCCTTCTCCTAGGTATTTCTACCTGCTTCTGAACTCATTTGGTCAAGTCAATCTCAGGATGCAAAGAATTTATTGACAGTGTAAGCTCTCTGAATGATGCTTGTTCTATAAAATTTTTTAATATTATTTTCAAGGTTCTATAAGATATACACATGTTTTAAATTAGTTCATGGATCATGTGAGATAATGAACTGGAGTTAAAATTTGTCCTGTTAAGAAGTCTCTCACTGGCGACTGGAGAGATGACTCAGGGGTTAAGAGCACTTGCTGCTCTTGCAGTTAACACAAGTTTAGCTCCCAGAACTCACATGACTGCTCTTAACTGCCTACAATTCTGTCTCTTCCTGGCTTTCGTGTGAGTACATACACATGTACACAGACACACACACACACACACACACAAATACTAAACCTTTTTTAAAAAGAAATTTCTTGCCAGGTTATGGTGGCACACACCTCTAATCCAGCACTTGGGAGGCAGAGGCTGGTGGATCTCTGTGGGTTCGAAACCAGCCTTGCCTACAGAGCAAGCTCCAGGACAGCCTCCATAACTACACAGAGAAACCCTGTCTTGAAAAAAAACGATCCAAAACAAAACAAAAGAAATTTCTTACCCAAAGTAGAGATGTTGCTTTTATACTCTTCTAAATTTCTTCTTTTGTAAAAATGTCCCCAAGTAATAGTTTTATTACCTTCTGAGGAAAGATTTTCATTTGTGGCCATAGTACATACATACATATGTAATTTATAAGTGTATTGAAAGCAAGTGTCTCTGTCATGTGCTTTGTAGGCATCAGAGCTGGGAAACGTGGCACTGAGGCATGACCTTCTCTCTTCCACAGGTGTGGGCATGACCCCCCAGAGCCAGGGTCCCCCTGGCCCTCAGTCGGCAGGCTCCTTCCAGGGACAGCCACAACCTCCACAGCCATCTATCTTGCAGCCAGGATCTCAGGTTCCACCACCGCCCCCCACCGCCCTGAACGGCCCTGGTGCTGCTCTTATGTCTCCACCAACTCACAGGCAGGATGGACTTCCTGGGCCTACCCCTCTGAATGCCCAGTACCAGCCCCCACCTCCAGCAGGCCAGACCCTGGGTGCTGGCTACCCTCCACAGCAAGGTAAGGTGGGCAGGGTGAGGCCGAGGTATGGGTTACCTGGGGCTGTCTTGAACTGGAAATCAGGTTTGTTTCTGTGTCAACTGTGAAGGGACAGGAAGTGGCCTCTGGATAGTGTCAGAAGAGCAAGTTAAAAAGGAAGTGCAGGAACTCACTTTTACCTTCCTGCTGTATTCAGCAAGATGAAGTTGGTGGCATCCTTGATTCAACAGAGTAATATTGTCATCGAGAATGACACCTGGCTTTAAAGATAGTCATTTCATTCTTTCTTTTTTTCCTTTTTTTTTTCAAGCAACCAACTATGGACCACAGATGGGAGGTGCACAGCTGTCTTACCCAGGAGGCTTCCCTGGAGGCCCTGCACAGATGGCCGGCCCACCACCACAGCTCCAGAGGAAGCTGGATCCTGACTCCATCCCCAGCCCTGTAAGTGCTCCTCCCTCTCCCACACAGAAGCTCTCCCATGTGTTAGCACTGAGTCCTCCAGGGCCTGTGGAAGGTCTGGGACACCCGCCACAAGAGGAGGCTTCTGCTCTCACAGAAGCACAGTCAGGTTCAGAACATGCTGAGGGCTCAGGGGGAGGACTCTGCCTTCCGATCAGGGAAAGTGTGAGTCACAATGGAGAGGGGACAAATACAGAGAGGGGTGAAGAGTTTGGCTATTTTATAATTTTATAAACTTGAAGATTTGTGATAAAGTATTTAGTCTTATAACAAACTTCACAATACATTAAGAATTCAACTTTAGCAGCTCTCAGTATTTTTGTTGTTGTGTTTACGACATAACTTTTCTTATAGCTGGAATATGAAAGATCCTCACAGATGTCTGTCGAGGCAGGTTCTGAATCTCTAGGAGACAGGACCTACTTAGAGGAAGTCAGTCTTTGGGGGTAGCTTGTTCCTGGCCTGTGGTGGTTTGAAGGGCAATGTCCCCTATGGGATTGTGTGTTTGACTACTTGGTCTCCAGCTGGTGGCACTGTCTGGGAGGTTTAGAAGGCGTGGCTTTACTGGAGGAAGTGTGTCACAGAAGGTGGGCTTTGCAAGCTTGAATCCTCTTCCTACTGCCAGTTTGCTCTCTCGCTCTCTCTGCTTCATGCTTGTGGTTTAAGACGTGAGCTTTCGGCCTCCTGCTCCTCCTGCCATGCAGGCCACATTCTGCCTGATTTTTGTTGTTCTGGAATCTAACGCTTTAGAATCGTACGCCAAAATAAACTCATAGTTCCATCAATTGCCTTGATGTGATGTTTTATTACAGCAGCAAAAAGGAACTGATACCCGGCCCTTTTCTGTCATGGTCTCTGCTTGTTATCTGCTGTGAGGTGTCCAGTCACAAAAATATGACGCCACATACACGATGTGTGCTCCTCCACGTAACATTCTGCACAGATATGTGGGGCCGAGCAGCCATGGGCTGAGTCCTCTGAAACACCTGTAATAAATCTTTCTTCCTTTCAGTTGTTTATGCCAAACTGTCTTTAACTATTAAAACTACTTGATTATTTGGGTTAACAATGTGTTTATACTGAGCTTATTTTGAGCCTCTATGTGATTTCAGATAACCTCCCTGGACTTTCATTCTTACCAGCTCTATTCCTGTTACAGTCACAGGCACCTTTAGTATGCTTGCGGATGGACTTCCTAGTTTCCTGGCCTCCCATTTTCAACCTTCGCTTAATTATCCAGGTCTTACCACAGTCCCGGTCATCAGCAAACACTATTGACTTTTGAACTTACGGTTGAGAGTGCTGTCTTTCCCTCCACTGCTTCCTGCCTTTGGAGTTTATTCCCTTCCAAACCGCAACGAGCATTCTCTCCACCAGTTCTTTCACACCCAGCACTGTTCTTTGACTTACATGCCTTCACCCTTGAACCTGTGTTTCCATTTGCAGGTGAATGTGTCTGTACCTTCATGCTTGTGTCTTTGTATTTGTGTGTGGTATGCCTGTGAATGTGCATGTCTCTGTGTGCATGTATGTGTTGTATGCAGGTGTTTATGTGTGTATGTTTATCTTTGTCTGTGGGTGCATGTGTTTGTACTTGTGTGTGGTCATGTTGAGTATGTATGTGAGTTAGTGTTTTTTGCAGGCCTATGTTTATGTATGTATGTATGTATGTGTATGTGTATACATGTATTTGTGTATGCATGAATGTGTCTATGTGTATTTGTATATACTGTGTTTGATGTTTGTGTGTATAGGAGGTTGTATGTATGTGTATGCTATATATGTATGTGTACATGTCTATGTATGGTGTTTGTATGTGTGCAAATGTATGAGTGTATATGTGTGGTGTGTATGTACTTAAATGTGGGTGTGTATATGTTTGTATGAGTGTTTGTGTATGTGTATATGATGGTCTATGTGCATATGTGTGTGGTATGTGCATATATGTATGTGTATATACGTGGTAAGTTTGTAGGTGTGGGCTTTGTTATTTCCTGACACCCTCACCCCGGTGTTAGAGTTCTCCAAGGCTTAATCTTTGGAATGACCTTTTCTTCATGGATATTTGGGCTCTAGGTCAACGTTATTCAAAGAATACCCCAAGAACATGCAGCTGACATCAGCTGAGATCTCCAGTCTTAGGAATCCTTGTTCTAGGGCCTCCATGCAGCCTGATGCTCACTCCTGGCTCCAGCTCCCTTCTACACACGTGCACGCAAACACTAGATGACTCTCACCTGGTCTGCTCCTGCCCTGCACCTCTGCCTTAGCTATGCCAGCTCTTCACAATGCCTGTGTGCCTCAACTTGTCGTTGACATTTCTACTGCCTGTATTTATGCTCCTTTCCTAGGTATGAGCAAGGCCCAACTGTTAAGTGAAGCTTTTTCTTTGCTAGCCGCTTTGGTTTATCCCCCCGCCAGTCGCCTGGGCTCTGCCGCGCCAGCCTGTTTCGAGATCCGCATCAGTCCCAAATAAACACACAGGAGGCTATATAAATTATGAAGCTGTTGGCCTTGCTTGTCTCTTACTGGCTAGCTCTGCTTTAAGTAATTACCCCATAATTGTTAATCTAAGTATGTCTCTTACCGGAGAATAGTTCTGGGCTCCTACCCCCATGGCGGTTACATGTTGACTCTCCTGTGTTTCTCCTTCCCAGAATCCTCCTGGACTCCTAGCCCCACCTATCTAGATTCCTATTGGCCAGCAGTAATTTATTGACATATACACAGGACTTCCCCAACATCTCCTCTTTTCTGTTTAAACAAAAAGAAAGGTCTTAACTTTAACACAGTCAAATTGTATATAACAGAACAGTTATCAAATATGAACATAGTTACAATATTTTAGCAAGATTTAAAGAAAATATCATCCATCCCATCCTTGTGAGTCCAAAGTTCCATATGTAGCTTATCTTTTATCATAACTAAGGAAAACTATAATTATAACTATCTGTCTTCAACTCCATCAAAGACCACAGAAGGATAATATATAAACACTAGGATTGACAGAGACATCTTACTGCCTGGACAGTCACCCGAAGTTCCTCTGTAACGTTGGGGCATCCATCTTCAGCCCATAGGCCACAATGTGTCTGGAACACTTCTCAGCAGAGCAGGAAATTTCAAACTGTCCATCTGCACTGGCAGTCTATCATTCATTTTTCTTTGTCCTGCAGAAAGTCTCGCGGACTCTTCCATGAAGCAGGAACCCTGTAAGACTGAGTTCAGCATTCACTTTCCTGTAGGTCCTGCATGTCCAGATGATACAACAACAGTCAAACAATCTAGGCAAGAGCAGTTTCTTGCCCAAATGGCTAATCTTGCCATGTTGAAAGCAAACTTTATAACGAGTTTCTTCGATGCCCATCTTCCTCTCAGACGTAATTGGTGCTGCCAGGAGCAGACATTTCTCATTGTCAAGACAAACCCTAAACCATTTTAAATGCCATGTTCTGAAGGTCTTTGAGAGGTTTGAAGACTGTCCATCTCAAATATATTTCTGTATATCTAGAAACCTAACTTATGTAACTAGAAATTCTATTATAAGTAACTATCTATAGTCTGTATTCAATTATGCATTACGTTGTAAAAGATCAGTATAAGCACAATACTTAATCAAGAGGAGAAATATAAGCATCACAAAATTGACCTTGAATTTGTGTCAATAAATGAAAAACAATACCCATACCATAATTCCCCTTTTTACCATTAAAAGGATTGGCTGTGATCATTAGCCAATTATAAACAATCCCATTTAAATGAAAACAAAGATTTATAAACAAGATGGGAATTGGGACGTCGCTCATTCCAAACTGCTTCCTGCTGGAAGGGGGCGCTGTTCATACCATGGGGATCATGACAAAACTCAGAAACCTGTATAAGTCCTTATTTTCGTGGTCTGTAAAGCTGCATCATCTTAGCTGTCTCAATTGTTGGAACACCTGGTCCACTGCTTCCGGGGGTCTTGGTTCGTGCAACCACAGAAGCCTGGAAGAAATCTTCAGCTTTTCATTTTCTGTAGAAACATAAATAAAAACTCCTTTTCCGAGTAACATATCCTTATGCTTAAATTTTGAAGTCAAGGTATTTTCAAAAGATATAAGTTGTATTAATTTAGCAGCATTTATAAGCAAGTGTACTTTAGTATCAGTTCCTTCCTGAGCAAGCAAAAAACTGAAAAACACATTAGCATACAGTATCCAGACTCTCTGTGTATTTTCCATCTTTACGTGGCTTATTTATTTATCTATTATTTCTTTATTTCTTTCACTTATTTATTTTTTTCTGAGACAGGGTTTTTCTTTGGAAACCTGCCTGCCTCTGCCTCTGGAGCAATCCTACCGGCGTGTGCCACCACACCCGACTTTTGTATTTATTTACCACTTTGCCGTTTCATTTTCTCTCTCAATCTCACGTATATTTTTAAACACACTGTAAACCTTTAGAGATTTTCTTTATCCAAGTCTGACTTTACTGTAAATCTTTATGTTTTTCTGGCCACGTGTCTTATCTGTAAAACTGCGTCTGTTTTAAATTGCCGTTTCAAGATGGCGGGCGTAAGCGTGACTTCAGCTTACCGCCTCAGTCCATGCTGACATCCAGCAAAAGCTGCCACTTCCAGCTGTACGTACACCCCTTTCAATCGGTAGCAGAGTCTCTTAAAACAACCTTGCTGTTTTTTTTTTCTTTTTATGCTGAGTCAGGAAGACTCCGGTAAACGAGCCACGTGAATCTCGGCTTGTCGATAGCAAAACAGAGCACACCTGAGAAAAATGCTGCTACCAATAATCTGTGCTTCTCTCCGTTCTTCTGTTTCTAAAATTCTTTTAAATCTTTTGTTATTTTGCGTGGAAATTCATGATCCCACTCCTGATCACCATTTTGTTAAGAGAATCTTTTTCTTTTGCTAGCCGCTTTGGTTTATCCCCCCGCCAGTCGCCTGGGCTCTGCCGCGCCAGCCTGTTTCGAGATCCGCATCAGTCCCAAATAAACACACAGGAGGCTATATAAATTATGAAGCTGTTGGCCTTGCTTGTCTCTTACTGGCTAGCTCTGCTTTAAGTAATTACCCCATAATTGTTAATCTAAGTATGTCTCTTACCGGAGAATAGTTCTGGGCTCCTACCCCCATGGCGGTTACATGTTGACTCTCCTGTGTTTCTCCTTCCCAGAATCCTCCTGGACTCCTAGCCCCACCTATCTAGATTCCTATTGGCCAGCAGTAATTTATTGACATATACACAGGACTTCCCCAACACCCAACTTACATGTTCTATTTTTCATGTCTTTTCATGTCATCCATGTCTCTACATGACCACAGCATCCAACTGCCTGGCAGAGGGCACGTGCACAGTTACTTATTGGCCACTGTTCTTCCAGACTCTGCTCTATGGGGCAGGGATCTAGTTTGTTCACCGCTGTCTCTAACACCTAACAGAGCCTGCTGCTCAGTGTGCCGAGTGAAGGGGTGAATGAACATTAATGGAAGAAGCAGCAGATGCCACAATTCATCATGAGCCTCGGAAGTATGTGTGTGCAAATCAGCCCCATGTTGCTTAACTTGAAGTGATGACGCAGCGATGCCAGTTGGGAGCCTGTTTGTTTTCCTCTGACCAAAATGGCATATTTTTCTAATGAAATAAACTGTTTCTTTTGGGAGGAAAGTACCCATACCCCAGTCCTGGCTGAGGTACTTCATCCAGCCCTTTGACTCTTTTAGCAACGTTATGAAGGGATGGAAGCTTCGTTAGCAAAGCTCTTCCTCACCCTCTTCAGGATTGTTAGGAGGTCGTGTCCTTCCCCTTCTTCCACCCCCTACAATTCAGACAGCTTTGCCTGGGCATCACTACTTAACTGACCATGCATCTCCACTCGACTCTCTTCCTCGTGCATTTCTAAGAGCGGTGCTTCCTTTATTCTTTGTTGATGATGTTTTATGATTCCACACATTTGAGGAAATGATTCCAGGGGTGCATCTGAAGGGGAAAGCGGTCTGTGTCTTCTGGGAGAGCTCTGACATTGTCACATGTCGCTGTGCAAGAACTCGGCTCACGGGTGCAGGTCACACAGCCAGTCACTGTTGAAGTTTTTGTTTATTGTTTCATTTCTGATGCTGTTTCTCAAGAGTGTGCATTTGGGGGTAAATCAGAAGCTGTTTTAACAATGGCTAAAACTGCTTGATATGTCCTCCTCTTTTCTGTGTCTTGTGCTGACAAGATGTGGATTTAATTAATAGTGACTAATTATAACATTGTTTCTTTGGGGATAGGGCTTTGAGAATTGTAAGTGAATGATTTGAAATGAGATTTTCTGGAAATCTGGTCTCGTGCTTGATGCCTGTGTAGTTTCGGTGCATTTGGCTCATGACGGTGTTCCCCTTGGATCTTGTTGATTGGAATGATGTTGCTAAACACCGACATTTGATAATGGGAAAGCAGCTCTCCTCCCGAGTAACCTGATGCGCTCTACAGGTCAGCGCAGAGTGTGATTACAGGGCTTCATGCTTCTGTGCACGTGCTTGCCGTGGGAGCATCTTGTCCGTGTCTTGCTGTGGTAGCCAGAAGGCAGACAGATAAGGTTTAAACTCAGGCCAGGTCGGTTGCCAGTACCCTTGGAATCTGTGATGCCAGCACCATCTATCTGCACTGGTGCAACCGGAGCGGAAGAGAACACTTCCGAGTTGGTTCAAAGTCAGCATTATCACTAACAGTGGGAAGCTGGGTATCTTTTCCTTTTTTTCCAGCCTAGATACTTCTTATTGATGTCTTCTTATGCTTGACTTCGGTGGGTTTTTTGGTTTTTGTTTTTCAAGACAGGGTTTCTCTGTGTAGCTCTGCAGCCTGTCCTGGAACTTGCTCTGTAGATCAGGCAGGCTGGCCTTGAACTCACAGAGGTCCACCAGCCTCTGCCTCCCAAGTGCTGGGAATAAAAAAAAACATGTGCCACCAACTCCTGACCTTGACTTTGGTTTTATCCTCTCCTTGTTGTTTTCTCTACCCCACCCCTTCTATAGAAAGTGAGGGACCAGGGTAGTAAAGGAAGAAATAGAGGAAGACAGTTCCTAGACTTACTTCTTGTTTCCCTAACTTCATTCTACTCAATTGTGCTCACAATTTTTAACCCTAAATAGTTATAACAAAAAGAAAAAAATTGAAAATGCTTGTAGACTTCAGCAACAAATATTATTAGTAGAAAAATGTTTCTAAGTTAGAGGACAACATTTGGAGACCTCTGCTCCTGATGATTTCTAAACATAGACACCCCCGCCCCAAGATACCTTATATTCTCTTTAGGGAAACCTTAGAAGTCAGCTGAGGGAGAGGATGGATTCTGAATAGAAGGCAGGCAGCTTTAGCTCAGATATTCTGTATCATTTCTTCTGCATCTAAGGATTGCTAGAGTTTTCTTTTGATTACAAATGTATTTTCACTAAAAAATATTTCAAGTTTCTTTTTTCTGAAGTGCTTTTCAAATGCTCATCTATGGTTATAATAAATAAGATCAAATGTGATAAACAAAAATAAGGGTTTCTGAAAGGTCAGGGGCTGAGCTAAGAGTATTACAGAATAGGATTTGGAAATTTGATAAACATTGGTATAAAATTGTGAAAGTAAATGGAAGGCATGTTGGATTGACTTCTCTGAGAAGAAATGAAAGAAATGAAAGATGCCCCTCTCTTTCTCCCTGTTTCTCCTTTCCTTTCTCTTTTTATCTCTAACTCTCTCCCTGTCACTCATTTTTTCCTCTTTTTCTGGAGAGGGAGGAGAGAGAAGGAAGAGGCAACCAGAACAAGCCACTGTTAACTGGTGTCAGGAAGAGTTGTGACTTAGTGTAATTCACTCTTTTTTAATTTTTAAATTTAAATTTAAATTAGAAACAAGGTTGCTTCACATGTCAATCCCAGGTCCTTCTCCCTTTCCCTCCCCTCCTCCCACACGCTCCCACCAACCCCTTCAATATCCCTTCATTTCCCCAGGGAGGATGAGGCCCTCCATGGGGGTGTCCATAGTCTGTCATTTCCTCCAGGACAGGGCCTAGACCCTCCCCCGGGAGTCCAGGATGAGAGTGCATCTCTCATTGTTGGATGGGCGCCCAAAGTCCATTTGTATACCCGGGATAAATACTGATCTACTACCCAAGGCCCAATAGATTACCTAGGGCTCCTCACTGACACCCACATTCAGGGTGTCTTGATCAGTCCCATGCTGGAATCCCAGCCATCAGTCTGGGATTCAAGAGCTAACCCTTGTCAGGTCAGCTGTTTCTGGGGGGGTTAAACCAGCCCGGTCTTAACCCATTTGCTCATCAGTCCTCCCTCTCTATCACTGGATTCTTTGAGTTCAGCTCAGTGTTTAGCTGTGGGAGTCTGCCTCTGCTTCCATCAGCCATTGAACGTAGGTTCTGTTGGGATTGTAAGCTGGCACTCCCTAGATCTATGTCTAAAATCCATATATGAGAGAGTACATGCCATGTTTCTCTTTTTGTGACTGGGTTACCTCACTCAGGATGGTTTCTTCTAGTGCCATCCATTTGCCTGTAAATTTCAGGATTCCATTGTTTTTTTTTTTCTGCTGAATAGTACTCCATTGTGTAAATGTACCACATTTTCTCTATCCACTCTTCGGTTGAGGGGTATCTAGGTTGCTTCCAAGTTCTGGCTATTACAAATAATGCTGCTATGAACATAGTGGAACAGACATCCTTGTTGTATGAATGGGCATCTTTTGGATATATGCCTAAGAATGGAGTTACTGGGTCTTGTGCTAGGTTTATTCCCATTTTTCTGAGGAATCTCCATACTGATTTCCAAAGTGGCTGAACAAGTTGGCACTCCCACCAGCAGTGGAAGAGTGTTCCTCTTTCACCACAACCTCTCCAGCATAAATTGTCATTGGTGTTTTTGATTTTAGCCATTCTGACAGGAGTAAGATGGTATCTCAGAGTTGTTTTGATTTGCATTTCCTGGATGGCTAAGGATGTTGAGCACTTTCTCAAGTGCCTCTCAGCCATTTTAGACTCCTCTATTGAGAATTCTCTATTTAGTTCTGTAGTCCACTTTTTAATTGGATCCTTTGGTATTTTGGAGACTTGCTTCTTGACTTCTTTGTAAATTTTGGAGATCAGCCCTCTGTCATAGATGGAGTTAGTGAATATCTTTTCCCATTCTGTGGCCTGCCTTTTTGTCTTGCTGACTATGTCCTTTGTCTTACAGAAGCTTCTCAGTTTCAGGAGGTCCCATTTATTAATTGTTGACCTCACTGTCTGTGCTACTGGTGTTATGTTCAGGAAATTGTCTTCTGTACCAATTCATTCAAGGGTACCACCCACTTTCTCTTCTAAGAGATTCAGTGTGTCTGCATTTATATTGAGGTCTTTGATCCATTTGGACTTAAGTTTTGTACATGGAGATAGAAATGGATTGATCTGCATTCTTCTACATGCCACCATCCAGTTATGCCAGCACCATTTGTTAAAGATGTTTTCTTTATTCCATTGTATTTTTTTAGCTTCATTGTCAAAGATCAGATGTTCATACGTGTGTGGGTTAATATCCGGGTTTTCAATTCGATTCCATTGGTCTACCTGCCTATTTTTGTGCCAATACCAAACTGTTTTCAGGACTACAGCTCTATAATAGAGCTTGAGGTCAGGGATGGTGATGCCTCCTGAAGTTCCTTTATTGTATAGGGTTGTTTTGGCTGTCCTGGGCCTTTTGTTTTTCCAAACAAAATTGATTATTGTTCTTTCAAGTTCTGTGAAGAGTTGTGCTGGTATTTTAATGGGGATTGCATTGAATCTGTAGATTGCTTTTGGCAGGATTGCCATTTTTACTACATTGATCCTACCTATCCAAGAGCATGGGAGATCTTTCCATTTTCTGAGGGCTTCTTTAATTTCTTTCTTTAAAGACTCAAAGTTCTTAAGATACAGGTGTAATTCACTCTTAACATCTTGTTTGTCAGATTCAAGTGATCGAGAATGACAGGGCCACCAGAGGTGGACAAGTCTACACTACCAACACCAGAGGCCAGGTGCCTCCACTGGTCACTACAGACTGTGTGATTCAAGACCAAGGTATTTATTTTCAGTGACTTTTTGTTGTTATTATTATGGTTTTAAGATTTCTCAGTGCTTTAAAAGGAAATACCCTAACTCCATTCATCAATACTATTATTGATGGACAACCTCATTATAGCAGGAAATAGACCAATTTGCTCAAGAACCCAAAAGGTGCTGCCAACAGTTATAATCTCTTATGTAGTAGTCCAGAGAACTGCGAGTGGTGTATAATACAATGTATCTGTTTAAGACAATCTCAAATTTTGATTTATAGTTTAAGGAAATCCATCCCACACTTGGGGTGGACTTGTGCACCCTGCTGGGCACTGTGAGCAGAACTGTGATGCTGAGCTCCATCAGTCAACTCCCCTGCTATAGACTGAGGACACTGTTCTCAGCACGTCTCTTAATGTTTTCGTTCTTGGTTCCCCCGCCTTTACACCAGAATAAGGGGAAAATGAGCTACATCCCTCCTGACACAGCCCATGCCTACTCTCATTTTAATCTGCCTGTCAAGCCCCATGCAGTCTCTTTTCCTGTTGTCCATGCTGAGTCAAAATATGACGATGGACTTAGCACTGCAGTTCAGTGGTAAAGCTGTGTGGGAGGCCCTGGGTTTGATCCTCGGAACCAAACTGGAAACTTGGTGAAGTCAGAATACACCATTTTGATGGCTGTCTACTCTATCCTGGAAGTATAACATCATCTCCCTTTAGCTCAGAGTTGTCCAGCCATCAGGACCCAGTCATCTCCTCATATTATCATTAGACATTAATTTGAGACCTCTTTAGGTTCTCCGTCTGGGTTGCTGAACCAAGTGGTCATATTGGCCTAGTAGCACTGTCAAGTACAGGTGGCCATATGCCCTTTTCTTGGTGGGCATTCCTCATTTCAGAGCTAGGCTCCTGGAGTCTGCTTTTTAAATCCCTCCTCAGTCTTACTTTTTTTTATTCTTTCTTTCTTCTTTCTGTGTATGTGCATGCATGTGTATATATGCATATGTATGCATGTATGTATATGCATATGTGTGCATGCATATGTGTGCATTTGTACGTGTATATTTATGTTTGAGGGCCCTGGGCTTAGTTAGTCCTTGTTCATCTTTCCTTTGGCCCTGGTTATTGCTGTAGTGATTTAGCCGACTTCTATGTTCTGTCTCTGTTTAGAGCTCCTAACGGTACACAGCCAATCTGGACTCCAACTCCTATCTAACTATGCACTCAGACTGGCTCTGTGACTGACTGCCTAATACATTTTCCAAACTGGATATATTCTAACCCAATTCTGGTCTCTATCCACACACCCTTAAAAACTGGTTCCTTCCCTATTCTTTGTAGCCTTTCGGTTTTCAGTGATGGCACTTTTAAATTCTTCTTGTTCCTCAGACTCAATGTCTGTATGCCAGCATACATCATTCCTGCAAACATTTATACCATTGTACAGACATATACCCAGAATCTTCCCATCGCTCTGTGCTCTGTCGATATGGGGTTGATCTGAGCCACTACTGATTGTCACATGGCCCCTGCAGCAGCCTCCTCCTGAGCCTCCCTGGCCCTGTTCCTCCTATTGCAGTCATTCTGCACACCCAACCAACGAGACCAAATCAGGTTATGACACCCATAGCTGTGAAGTTCATTTCATTTGTAAAACCTTGAGGGTTTACTGGGTTTCGAGAGTCTACAGGATCTGACCCTGTACATCCTCCAAGCTCAGTCTCAGCCACTGGCCCCCAAAAAACTCCAATCTAAATAACTCCCGCTCTTCCTCTGCCAGGCCTCCTGTATCTACCTAAGTGAATCCCTGTCTCCATTTAGTCTTTTCTCAAATGTTACCTTTTTATTAAGGCTGACCCTGTGAGTATTTAAAATTTCAATTGGCGTCTCACTCTCATTTGTCACATTCTAATATTCTAGATAGTAGACTCGTTCTTTTAGTTTCTGTTATCCATGACCCATTCAAAAGCATAGCTCTATTCTGTAGTCCACAGGAAAACTTAGGGCAATGCCTAAAATTAAGTGGGCAGTCAATAAACATCATTTGATTATATTCTCTCATCCTAATAGATTATAATTCTAAATCTTTTAGATCACTCTTAGATGATAGTTAAGTAATACTAGTTCCCCAGGAGGATGGGGCAAGAGGATTTCAACTTTAAAAGCTTGTCTGGCCTACAGTGAATTCAAGGTCAGCCTGGGCAATTGAGCAAGACTGTGTCAAAATAAAACTAAAAAGGATATGGACATATATAACTCATCAGTAAAATGCTTGTCTCGCATGTGAGACCCTAGGTTCTATCCCTGGTACCAGTGAAAAAAGATTAAAACCTAGGACGGTTCCTAAAATGTGATGGACAGTCAATAAATATTTTATTTTTATTAATCCTTGAGAGTTTCATACATGCATACAGTGTATTTTGATCATATTCACCCCTTTTCTTCTCAGACCCACCCCCACCTCTTGCAAACCCTCCCACTCCCTGTCCTTAAAAAAAAATAAAGGAAACAACCTAGTCCAGTTTGTGCTGCCATCCTGGGTATAGGGCCGTCCACTAGAATGTGATAGACCTACAGGGGCCACACTCTTAAAGAAAACCGACCCTCCCTCCCCCACAAGCTGTTAAGGGGCTTGTGAATCTCTTTGCTCTCCATGCTAGAATGTTGAGTGGGTTGATCTTGGGCAGGGCATATGCTGTGAGCCCATGAGTGCAGTAGTCATGTCATGTCTGGAAAATACTGTCTCACTTAGATCTTCCCAACCAAATTTGACTCTTACGATACTTCTGCCCTCCTCTTCTGTAGTATCCCGAGCCTTGGCTTGGAGGCACAGGTGTGATGTAGTTGTTCTTTCTGTGGCTGAGGAGTCCAATCAGTTATTCTCTGCACTTTGCCGTTGTGAATCTCTGCATTAACTGCCATTTGTTGCACAAAGGAACTTCTCTGATGAGATTAGAGCTGCACTAATTTATGGCATAAAGATGTAACACAAAAAATAAAAGACCCACAGACAGATACTGGGTTCAAGTTTCAAACTGAAAATCAGAGAAGCAAAGCAGCCAAGCCACTGACTCTTACCTCTATCTCAGACAGAAAGGGTTGATCCTGTCTCCACGAGCTCTCCTCCAAGCCTTAGACTGCTGCCTCTCCTCAACATTGCTGGAGACTAATCCCATAATGCAGCCTGAGATATTTGGCTCCTGTCTTTCATATACCTCTCTAGGGATGGGATTAAAGGCATGAGCTCTAATTCTCTTAGACTGATTCCATCTTGTGTAAATCTGGGTGGCTTTGGACTCACAGAGAGATCCATCTACTTCTGTCTCCTGAGTCCTGGGATTAAAGGTACGTGCCACCACTGTCCAGCTTCTATGGCTAACTAGTGTGCCTGGCTTTGCATTCTGAATCCTCAGCCAAGCTTTAATAAATCATAAATAATGCATCACCACAAAAGATACAAATTTAGAGGGCAGACTGATACTCTGTCCATTTAGCAAAATAATAGTAACCCTGGAGCCTGTGAGATCTAATCCAAATTCTTGTCCAGATTTACAGTATCAGGCATGCATTTCCTCCCATGAATAAAGCCTTGAATCCAAGAAGAAGGTGGTTGGTTCCCCCATAACATCCATGCCACTATTGCACCAGTGAGCATTTCTTGCCATGTCATTTGTGACAGCAGCTCAGTGGATCCCCAGCTGGGTGAGACTGCTGATAACCTTCTCCCTAAGCGGCCTAAAGAGTACCTTCTGTCGCTATGGACGGTAGCCAATATGTAGGAAGCTTCCTGGTCAGTACTAGCTTGATGTCTCCATATCCTAAGCAAAATATGTAGTGTCGTCAGTAGTAGGATCTTACCATCAAGTTCTGGTGGGAAACCAAGGGCAATGAGAAAAAGCACTGAGCTTTTCACTTGACAACCTATGGCTTTTGAGAGGAACATTATCTTCTGTGTAGGGTAACTCCAATTAAATTCTTTTATATGGAAAAATGTATATGGATCTTATAAAATAGGAGGTTTCCATGTGACTTTCCCAAATATCCTTAGTGTTAATTTCTTCTGCCTTGGCCCTCTGTCTGCTTGAACTTCCGTCCCCATCACCACCATCCCCTTTTTGCATTACCTGTGCTCTGCTAGCCTCTCTCCCTTGTGGTCTTTTATCTCAAAGACCATGACCAAAACCAGTTTGGGAAGAAAAGGGTTTATGTGGCTTACACTTCCAAAGCACAGTCTACTATTGAGGGACTCCAAAGCAGAAACCCAAGCAGAGTAGGAACCTAGAGGCAGGAACTGAAGTGGAGACTGTAGAGGAACTGGCTTTCTCCTTATGTGCTCAACCCATGTTGTTACAACCACTCAGGACCACCTGCCCAGAGATGGCACTGTGCGCAGTGACCTGGTCCCTTCCACATCAGTCATTAGTCAAGAAAATGCCTGTAGCCTTGCGTATAGGCAATTGGATGGAGGTATTTTCTCAGGTGAGGTTCTTCTTCCCAGGTAACTTTAATTTGAGCCAACTTGAACAAAAAATCACCAGGGTACTCTCTCCCCACTGGTGGTAATTTTCTAGTTCCCTCAATTCTAACAGATACCCCAAGTGAAGCAAATAATCTAATGACTCAACACCAGGATGATTGAGAACATGTGATGTTTGTTTTCTTGGACCTGGGTTATTGCAGTCTGCATGTTTTCCAGTTACATTAATTGATCTGCAATTTTCATAATTTAATTTTTATGGCTGAATGAAGTTGGATTGGGTATAGGTATCACATATTCATTATCCATCGCTAGTTAATAGACATTAAAGCTGTTCCTATGCTCCGGCTGTTGTGAATAGAGCAGCTATGAACATGTATCATGCATCTCTGGGGCACGATATAATCTTGGGTATGTATCCAGGAGTGGGCTAGCTAGGCCAAGGAATGGTCACACTTACTTCTCTAGTAGCAGTGCCAACTTGGACTCCTATCAACAGTGCCCTAGGGTTCCCCGTTCTCCACATCCTCAGCAGAATTTGTGGTTGTATATTTTCTTGATCTTAGCTATCCTGACTGAATTAAGACGAAGCCTCAAATTAGTTTTAATTTGCATTTTTACTGATGACTAGGGATGGTGAATACTTATAAGACTATTTCTCAGCCATTTGTGTTTCTTCTTCTGAGAAATATTTAGCTCCTTAGCTGACTTTGTAATTTGGTGGTTTGTTTTCTTGGTGCTTAGTTTTTTGGGTTTTCTTTTTTTTTTGAGTTTTTGTATGGTACAGGCACTAATCCTCCATCAGATGTGCAGCTGGTGAAGATCTTTTCCATTCTGTAGGTTGCTTCCTTTTTAATTGACTAGTGGTTTCCCGTGCTCTACAGAACTTTTTAATTTCATGAAGTAGCTCTTGATGATTACAGGTCCTATTTCCTGGGTGACTGGTGTTCTGTTCAGAAAGTCTTTACCTGAGCCTAAATCCTGAAGTGTACTCATTCTTGATCTGGAGGTTCCAGAGTTTGGGGTCTAATGTTGAGACCTTTTATCTCAACTGATTGTTATTCAGGTAAAAAAAAAAAAAAAAAAGAAGGATCCTTCTACATGAGATATTCAGTTTGCCTGACACAATTTGTAAATTATGACACAAATTAAATTGTTCTAATGATTAAACTATTCTTCATGTGTGCCATACAATGAAAGTATTTGGTCACGAAATCTAATGTATATTTAAAAGTGATTAGGATGATTTTAAAAATAAAATTTCTATTACAAGTAGAATTTCAATTTATAAATTCAGTTTACAAACTTAGGAAAAATGTAGCAAATTACAGCTGTATTTGACAAAGCCTCATTTGATAGTATGACATGTTGTGCAGATACATACGTGCCCATGGCAGATGTGTTGGTAGAAGTGAGAACAAAAAAAAATGATTGTTGTGCTGGAGAGATGGCTCAGTAGGAAAGAGGAAAGAGCAGTTGCTGCTCTTCCAGAGGACCCAAGTTGAGTTCCTAGCACCCATGTTAGGCAGCTCATAGCAGCCTGTAACTCCAGCTCCTGGAGCTCTAGTGCCCTCTTCTGGCCTCATGGGCACTTGTACAAAGTGCTTATCTAGTCTCCTCCCCCTCCCCCATCAGACAGCCACAGCCATAATAAAACTAAGAGTAACTGTGGCCCTAAAGCTGTATTCCTTCACGCCTTTGTGTCTCTTTGTTTCATGTCTCCCATTAACTCTAAACCCTCTCCAGTCTAAAACTGGATTGCATTAAAACCCAGCTTATGGGAAACAATAATTGTAATAAAACACTTCTTTCATATCTCTCTAGTAAAATTCACCACGTCTTATGTATGTCCTTGGAGTGTAGATTGCAGAATTTTACAGTGCTCTTTTAGAAACAAAGAAGAGTTTATAGATAAGAGTGGATTGGTTAGGCATACTCTCGTTTAAGTATCTTGGACCAGACATTTACCCTAACAAGTTTTGTCTGTGTGTGACTTTGATTCAGGCCACTCGAGCCCCCGGTACATTCGCTGCACCACCTACTGCTTCCCCTGCACATCTGACATGGCGAAGCAAGCTCAAATCCCACTAGCTGCTGTCATCAAACCCTTTGCTGACATTCCATCAAATGAGGTAAGAATGATTTTAAAAAGTGATTTGTCTTCTCAGCAATTCACTATACATTATTCCTTACTCCAGGAAACTAGAATAAACTTATACAATATGCAATTTAAAAACAGCTAGTCATTCAATTCATGTGTAAATCAGAATCTCATAAGCAATATTATCTAGTGCCCTGGATACTAATCATGATGGTCTGAGTCATGTTTTCACCCACTGTGATGGTGCACACAAAAAGTGTTGCCGAGGAGAATGCTGTGTGGTGACAAACCACGGGTCTAGCAGGGATGCCTTATGCCCATTTCAGGGTCCCGCCACTGAGGTGTTTTGTTGGGAGAAATCCTTGATCTCAATACATCTGCTTCAATAATTACTGTACCAAAATGTTCATAAACTAAGTGTTAGAAACACAAGGTAGATAAATCTATGTGTATTTGTTTGTAGGGGTATACCCGATATATAGTTTACTAGTTAGAAAAAAGAAACAAAGAAAGGAAAGCGTTGCTATTAATATTGATCAAGTATTAGGTTGCTGAAGTATTTGATCAAGATACCCAGACTGATGCAATTGTAGTCCTCACTGAAGCCATTTTTTAGATAATGGTCCTTTGTGACAGCTACTCAAACGTACAGGGAGAGAGCCTATAGTGGAGTGAGTCTGTGACATGACCAACTGATCACAGGAGTGCAGCCCTTATTCTGAGCTACTGGATTCCTGTGACTGTGCTAAAAGTTAAGAGTCCCCACTACCCTCTCTAAGGACCCTCAGGCTTGGGTCTAGGGATCTTTAGAGGGAGGCTGATCTGCTATAAGTAGTAGCAGCGTCTACTTAGGGAGGGGGAAGAGCCTCTGTTGGAGAGAGCAGATTTGTTCCCTTTCTAAGGATGTGGATGAGGGGAGGAAGCCATGGGAAGGAAGAAGGATGGCGTCCATTCGTACAGTGGCCAATGCCGTAGGATCTCTTCTCTTGACGATGGACTGAACTGAGGAGAATGAGTCAGGGGAGGCCTGGAACTGGTCTTAGAACTCTAGAAACCACACATCCTGCATTCAGTGTCAGCCCAGGAAGCATGTTCAGCAATTGTGGTTTCTTCTATCTCAGTGTCAAAAATGTTAAACAAGGCTTTAAAACTAAAAAAAAAATATGTTTCTGAGTGTTTGTCCTGCATGTAAGTACACATGGAGGTCAGAAGAGGGTGTTGGATCTCCTAGGATAAAAGTTATGGATGGTTGTGTGCCTCTGTAAGTGTTGGAAATAGAACCCTGGTCTTCTGCAAGAGCAGTTAGTGCTCTTAACCACTGAGAAACCCTGCCTCTACTCCACCAAAACTCTTTTTAAAAAATCAAAATACTTAAGAAGGGTAAGATAGGCCAACAAATACTGATAAAGAGATCCTGTGGTGTATAACATGTGTAGCTTAATTAAAGTGTACTGTAGCTATTGTCAATGTTTTATTGAAGGGAGGAAAGGGAAGGGAGAAGTGTTGTAATTATATTATAATGTCAAAAAATTTAACTGTTGAACATACAGAAAATTTAAATTGATTTCATATTATCATCTAAATACTATTAAAGTTTGATATTTTCTCACTTACATATCACTTATTTTGGTAGCATTTTAAGATTAGTTGTGAATGTCAATATACTTCACTCATGCACACATTGTTAACAAATGTCCAATATCTTTTTACTGAGACAATTCATTTATAATAAGGATGTACATCCTTTTGTGATCTGTCAATCAGATCCAAGGTCTCATGTTTAAGAAATGCATGTCTTAATGTCAGTTGATTACATTTGAACCAATCTTGATGCCTATCAAGATCTAACCTGTCACAGTTATTCTGGAGAAGTGCCCCGTACTCCTCAGCGTCCCTACCCTTCACACAGCCTCCCACTCTTCTGATTTCCTATGGCAGGTTTGTATTACTCTATTACTCTTCTAGTGCCTCATATGGCCACTATAACCGACAGTAGAAAAGGCTCCCGTGAAAGTGTCCGTCCGTGTGTCCCGTCCTGCCTCCGCCCCAGTCTACAGTGAGGTTTGTAGATCACTAGCCTTTCTTTTGATTTCTGAGTAGTATTTCACTGTACAGGTATGCCAATTTGCTTACATAGCATTTCATAGATGTGCAGGCTTTCTCTACCTCATTAATATAACTGCTGTGAAATGTTGTACAAGTTTTTCCATGAACATATGCTCATTTTCGTGAGGTAATATCCACGAACACTTTGAAGCCCCTTAAGGTATACACTCTGTGGTTTTACAAGAAACTCGCAGACCATTTTCTGAAGTGGTTACATCATTTTGCTCACTTTGCATTGGCATGCCAGGTGCTCCGTATCTGCCCCATGATCCGATGATATCCTTACTTTAATGTTAGCAATCATGATGGGTAGAATCCATGAAATACTTTTTTATTTCAAGGTTTGTGTTCATTTCAAATGATACACCAACTAGTAAGCCATTCATATACACGTAATTCATCATTAGTGTCAATATTTTTATGAGTTTTTAGAGAATGAACACATCCTAGGTATATGTAATTTCTCCTTTACTGAGAAACGATCCTTCGTCTCTAGGGACAAACACAAATACACTTGATGTTTATCCTCACCTTATGACCTTATGACAATATGTAGCGTTATTCTTCACTTAACTGGGATGGTGACACTTGAATAATAAAATGTGAACATTCACAGTGGAGAACCAGTCCCCTCCCATGCTGCTACCCCGCCATCTGCTTTTCAAACAGCCCTTACCATTCTTTGAGACTCCCTTTTACAATCGAACTATCCATATACCAGCATACATGTATTCACCCTGTAATAAAATCAATCGTGAATTACTAGATTAATGCTGGCACAGCTCTCCACTTTTCTGTTTTCTGTTAGTGTGTCTTGCACTCATCCCATGCTGCTGTTCACAAAGCTCCGTCATCCTTAACAGTGGGGAGACGTACATGTTAATAAGGAAAACATTGTTGACCACCGTGCGTGTCAGTGTGAAGCACACTGATTTTGGCAGTACTGAGCTTTTGCAGTCCGAGTCCCAAAGCTGAGAGCTGTGTTCCTGGAAGCATGCTTAGAAGATCCGTGGATCCCCCTCCTCCTCAGGATGGGGTTGTTGCAAGTGTACTCTCTCTGTCTTGCCTCTGTGATCTGTAGCTTCCATAATCAGGAGAAGACGATTTATATCTTAAAGGCTATCCCCCAGAATATGTAAAATAAGACAGCATCCTAGGCAGAAGTTCTGTTGTGTATCAAAATCCTGGATGTGGGGATGTGGGATTTAGGTCCCTGACAGTATCATTTTGGGGTATACTGGTCTCATTGCAATGAATTTGCCCAGTTTTTAACTGGGCACAAGCAAAAACTACTCTTTATCTTCTCCTGAGAAAGCTAACTTGGGTCAAGCATCTCTGGAAGGGGGTTGGGACTCAATCAGTAAGGTAACAACTTCATGGGCGATGCAGACCTCAGTTTTGATCCCAAGTCCACAAATAAAAGATGAGCACAGCGGTCCATATTTGTTGCTCTAGCACTGGGGCAGAAGAGACAGGAGGTCCTGTCTGGACAGCCAGTCTAGCAGAATTAGGGAGCTCCAGGTTCAGTAAGAGACCCCGTCCCCCCAGAGTAAGTTGAACAGTAATGGAGAAAGACACCCAAAATTGACCTTAGCCCCATCTACACATGGACACACATATGCATATACTCCCACACACATACCTGCATCACCCACAGACGTGTGCTCCCCAGAATAAAACTCAACTGTTGTTTGCTGAGGACATGACTCCTTAGCCATCTTACTATGTATTTGTTTCAATATAGGCTGGCCTCCATCTCACTATGTAGTCAAGGATGACCTTGAACTTCTGGTCCTCCTGTCTCCACCTTCTGAGGGAGGAATGTTACATGGGGCTGGAAGCCAGGAGCTCCACGCACACAAGACCAGCACTCTGACAGCTGAAGTACACTCCCAGTCCCCAGCCTTCCTGTTACCATGTTAGTACTAATAATGTAATTATTCAATGATGTGTTTCTAAGAATTAAGACTGCTATCGAAGGAGATTTGGAGTGTTGTTGGGGAAAAAAACTTTTAGCTATTAATGCAAGCCTTTCCCCAAGTCATACAGACATTTATATCAAGACTGAATATATGCTTCCCGGGTTTTAAAGTCAATAGTTTCAATCGAATGCTCTCTACCCTCAAGCCTGAAATGTCCCTTTGTGTCAACTTGAGCTTCAAGAAAGTCTCCAGGCTTTCCAAAGCCTAGCAGGTGAAGGTAGACTGATTGCTGACTTTTGAAATCTGGCTTGGGGAGAAGCTATGTTTAAGAATAAAAATAGAAGCCGGGCATGGTGGCACACACCTTTATTCCCACCACTCAGGAGGCAGAGGCAGGCAAATCTCTGTGAGTTCAAGACCAGCCTGGTCTACAAGAGCTAGTTCCAGGACAGCCTCCAAACCACAGAGAAACCCTGTCTCAAAAAACAAACAAACAAAAAGAATAAAAATATGTTGTTCTCTCAGTGTTTGGAGACAGTGTATACTGCTCAGCTAGACGCCTGTGACAGTGCTGCCTCCTCTGACAGTATATCCTCTCTCTGTCAGAAGCTCCGCCCCTTTCCTCAGAGCAGCAGGAGAAGGGTCTTTGTGAATGTACAGATGTGATGGACACTGAGCCTACTATTGCAGTGTCTGCCTGCTCAAAGAAGCCGGTCATTTTTACTGATGGAAACAGAAGGAGCAGAACAGGGGTGTGGAAGGGTGCTGGTCTGCGGGCAGCGGCTCATGAGGCTGTTCTTTGGCACAGTGCCTACTGCAGGGGCATTTAGCTGTACCTAAAGGGGGGAGAGCACCAGGAATGCACTTTGTTCACAGGCATACATTCAGACCCGTAAATAAAAATAAATAGATTCAAATAGAATACCTCCCTAACAAGCAGGTTATATAAATACAGTTTCCCATGAATATCATTTAAAATTAGTGCCCTGTGTTATAGGTGGCT